ACTGTTGAACAAACGAGGAAAAAATATCCAGTAAGCTATACATTGTTGTGTTTGTCTTTTATGGGCTGAGTTTAATTTTGTTATGTGTTTCTCAGGTGAGAAGACGACCAACTGCACAAGTTGCACAAGGACAGGGAGCCCCACAGGTTGCTCCCCCACAGGTTGCACAAATTGCTTCCCCACAAGTTGCTCAAAGTGATGCACCACAGCGAACAAGAGGGGTTCTTGGAAAAAGAATAAGGCAATATGGCTATGGGATTTACACAGATGAACGTACTGGAATGACTATTTTCAATGTAAGATTTGTAGGACTCATGTATTTAATTTATGGTATTTCAATTCATTTGGTTAACAATATAATTATGTTCTTATAGCCTAGAAGAAGTTCGGAGGTCCTTATCTCTCAAGGTGGGCCAACTCAAGAGTCAAGGGCGCAGCCAAAGAAGAAGAAGAAGACAGCGAGTACAGCTTCAAAATAGCCACCAACAAATAAAGTTGCACTAGTTCCATCTCAACCAACAGAACCAGTACTAGTTCCATCTCAACCGACTGATCATGGGACCAATGTTCCTACGGAGAGGTCCCCACACATGACACGTGCTACAAAAAAAAATGTTGATGCTAAGAAGAATGTGACAGAAATGCCAGTTAACGAACCTACGTGTCCAGTTCGAAAGAGTGCCCGAATTATGAATCAATTCAAAAGTGCAAAAGGAAAAGGAGCCGGGGGTGTTGTGCATATTGACTAATGGGAGGGTGCTAGACATGGTATCTTCACTGATGGGGATTGCTGCCATTGTTTTTATGTGTTCGCATTGACATATTAGGTGGGAGGGGATCGTTGACTGATTGGGGGACTGGTGTTTTTTATGGACATGTTTATTTTTGTAAAGAACCAATCAATGTCAATGGCAACAATGTTTTTGTTATTTTCTTGTCTTGCACCTTGTTATGAGGCTGATGTTGTTTTTGGAAATGGTTGGTTGATTATTGTTGCTGGTTGAAGTTGTGGGTGCTGGATGTACGTGCTGGTTGAAGTTGTGGGTGTTGCATCTTCCTGCACTAGCAAATACAAGTACTGGTGTAAGACAAGATGCACTAGCACAGCACTAGTGCAATTGTGGCTGTTAGTGCATCCTGTTGCACCAACACAGCTCTCAGTGCAACTTTGGGTGCTGGTGCGTCTTCTTGCACCAACACTTGCATGAGCTGGTGCAAGAACAAGATGCACTAGCAACTCAACTGGTGCAACAACATGCACCACGACTGGTGCAAGCCAATGGAAACATAGTTGAAACTGACTTGTTCTTATTTTTAAACTCGTGCAACACAAGTGATCACTTTTTCATCGCGATTGACACTAAAATGATCACTTTCAGAAAAACTTGGCACTGAAACGATCACTATTTACAACTTATGGCACTGAAATAGTCACTCATGAATTGTTACCACCCCTTAATTTCTTCATGGTTTGCAGTAATGGTTGCAGCAAACCATTACATCTGATGCAAAAACCAAGCGAACCAATATATACAATATAGAACCAAGCAAAAAAAATTTGAAGTGCTCACAACCAATGAATTCCAACTCCAACCTTCCATTTCCACCATAGATTGGAATAAAACCTTTTGTTCCATACAATTTGCAGCAAACCAGTAACACACTTTACTTACAAATGACCCAATACAAGTAACTATTCCACATCTTCGATTATGGTAGACATGCAAACTTCTTCTCATTGCTCACTTCAAATTTGAATATACTACACAAGAGAACAACAACACAATTAATGCTTGATAAAAGTTTCTTTCAATTTTCAGCCTTGAAACTTTCCTCTTCAAATGGTCGACTAAAGATGTTAAACCCTTCATTTGAGTTTGCATTGAGTCGACATCATCTAACTCGTCCATTAATGTAGGTGGAGGTTGATGTCGTCCTTCAAGTAGCTGCAAGATCACTTCTGTGGCTCTATCGGAGAATTTGGCATCAACCCATTTGAAATATTTGCACTTTGAGCCTTCTCTATACCTGCCGCATCCATGAAATCTTCTCCCGGGATTTAACTGAGTCCAAGATATTCTTCTCGGACTCGGTAACCCACAAAAACAGTAACACTCACCATCTAATTCGCTTTTTTTAATCGACTGTGAGCCGCTGCTGAAGCTTCCGCCCTCCATCTGCAAGCGCGAGCTGATAATTGGGGATTTAAGGTTCTGATTTTCGCGGGTTAGGTATCCCGAATGTGAGCCGCTGCTAAGCTTCCGCCCTCCATCTTTCAATTTGGGGATTAGGGTTCTTATTTTGGGGAGAAGAAGCTAAATAAAACGGCGCCGTATAGGTATCGTGAATAAAACGGCGTCGTTTTAGTGTTTGCACGCTGACTGTACTCTCCGGCGAGCCACGTTGGCTTCAAATACTAATAAAAAATTGCCACGTCAGATTTTCGACCAATCAGATCGGAGTTGGCACTTAAAAGATCGTTTTTAAAATTTTTTGACACTTAAGTGATCCAAATGGAACTTTTGGCACTAAAGTGAGCTCCGTACACAGCTTTTGGCACTTCTGCTGTTCTTCCCCCCCCCCAGTTTAAGCTTTTGAGTTGAACTTTTTAACGGCGGGCGTCAGTGAGAAGTCGTTTTACTCGATTAATTCTTTGTACCACTGGATGCGATAGTGAGTGTCATGTGACTCTTGCTAGAGCCTTGCTAACCCCCCTCCGAGAGGATTTGGTTGTATGAAAATAACTTTAAGGATCAAATTATACAAATGCCAGAACTTAGAGGATGAGAACTCGGGGAAAGGACATCCTAAGTCTCATAACTTTCGTACGGTGCTCACTTGAACGCCATAACTTTTTTTTCGATCATTTGAGTACTATAACTTATATACGGCGCTCACTTGAGTACCATAACTTTTTTTCCGATAACTTGAATGACATGTAACTTTTTAATCGATCACTTAAGTATCATAACTTTTTAAAAATGTTCACCACAAGTACCATGCCACGTCTGATTTATGGCATTTGGTTATCAAATGGATAGCACATGATTTGGATTAAATAAGTATCTATGTATCAATCAGTGCACGATGACAAACGGCATTATGCAAAAAATGAAGATTTTTCTGAGAGAGTTTCGATAGAGATTATTTTCAGGACAACCATTAAGTAATTAAATACGAAAACTGATAATTTCAAATCTAGTGGCTTTTCTTGTGATATGTATGATCCATGATTTGAAAACCGAATCTTTTACTATAAAGCATCCTTAGAAGGTGCTTCGAGACACTACTTAACGTGACCCTTATTTACCAAAAAAAAAAAACACGACTCTTATGCTAATACACGCCACTAAGCAAGAAATAGAAACTTGATATCCAGTATACAATGCTACTAGAGAAATATTACGGGTTAAACATTTATATATCAAAATGGGTTTATCTTAAGGGAAAAAGAGAGAGAAAACTCCCTGACTTTTCTTAATTTGCAATCAAATACATTAACTATTTATGAAAATAAACAGAGTAAGTCATCTCACTCTTCAATATCAACTTATTCATGTGGTGCATTTGCAAAAAGAACTTATAAGTTTAGAATCGAATATATTCTTCCACTCTCCTATCATATCTTTAATTTGTGGTATATAAGTTGTTGACATTATCCGCATGCGAATTCAACTAAAATTGAAAGCGAGTGATATCAATTTTTGCAACTTTAGATCAGAGACACGATTTCCTCCAATCAGGGATGAAGGAAAGCATGACCCTTCTTAGATTGCTAACCTCTAAATCGATAAAATCATGCAACAATCTCACGGGTTACCTAAATTGAGAATCAAAGTTAGGACAACCGATCATAAAATTGTTTGCACCTCATGAAACATGGGATCATAACTATCTTGCCCTTATATGCACGTATGCATGTTAATGACAATAAGCCAACCCTCCCCTTCAATTCACTAAATTTGCAAGAATATTCTCAATTTGCACTTATATGCACGGTGCGATATCGGATTACGTACACTCTTAATCGTCTAAATTATACTAATTGTGTGATTTGGCTCTCGAAGTTCATTTTTGTGGACAATTATCGATACTATAAAAAGTTGATGTGGCACATGATGGACATCTTATGTATTTTTGTTTGGTCGGAAAGACATCTTGTGTTGACACGACGCTACATAACTACTTGAGGGTCCCCTAACTCTCGTGACCAGAAGGTTAGGATCTCCTACCCTCACATAGTGGGAGTGAGTGTCGTGCGACTCTCGCTAGAGCCTCACCTAACTCTCGTGAGCAGAAGGTTAGGATCTCTTGCCCTCACGGTAGAGGGTGTTAGGACACCTTAAGTATTATAACTTTTGTACGACGCTCACTTGAGTACCATAAATTATTTTTCCGATCACTTGAGTGTTATAACTTATGTACAATGCTTACTTAATAATCATAATATTTTTTTCCGATAACTTAGGTATTATATAACTTTTTAATCGATCATTTGAGTGCCATAATTTTTTGAAAACGTTCACCACAAGTATCATGGAACGTCATATTTATGGCATTTGTGTGAATATTTTGAAAAAAGTTATGACATTCAAGTGATGGATTGAAAATTATAACACTTAAGTGGACGTTTTTTAAAAATTATAGCATTCAAATGGTCCAAAAAAAAGTTACGTCGGTTGTGGTTTCCATGTTCCCAAAACTCTACAGAATTCTTATACCTTTTGCATTGTGGATCCGAGTTAGTCCAATCAGATTTGGCAGAGAGTTTATGGATCCGTCCGTACATGCAATACATTTTGCCATAACTGCAGGGCAAGACACAGTGGAGGAAGACAAGTTTTGAACTCTGAACTCTTCATCCACGTCGCTCTCCGCGAGTTCACAAATAGCTCCCCTCGGTTCGAAAGCGAAGTCGCAAGCTCAGCAGATTTCCATGGGGGACAGCGAGAGTGAGAGAGAGAGAGGGAGGGAGGGAGACACATGAACCAAGAAAGCTGCTCTCTGTTTTCGGAGAAGTTCCAAGACGTGCAGAGCACCCAAATATCTAGGAAATTTGCCCATAGATAAAAACAGAGCACGAGAAAGAATCCCTCAAGAATCCACGTCTCTCTTCCTTTCCTCCATCACCAATTTCTGGTCAGTCCACGACTCTCTCTCTCTCTCTCTCTCTCTCTCTCTCTCTCTCTCTCTCTCTCTCTGAGTCATTGATGGGGGTTGTGACGTTTTACGCCCGCTTCCAGGACTTGCCCTGTTTTCCTGGTTTTGATTCTTCTTGCTTCCTTTCGCCTATGCTCCTTTTGGTTGCTGAGCAAATGCAGAGAGCATCGGCAAAATCTAGCAGTTTCCATCGATTCTGGGTTTTGCCAAAAAAAACACTAGAAAGAATAAAAAACTTTCATGCACCTTGTTTATGCTTTCATCGGTTTTCCTCCCTGCAAATGCAGGGCAAAGTTCCTTCTTCTGTTCTCTTTCTTTTCCTCCCCCTTTTGGTAAATTTCTTGATCTTTATTTGCTTAACTGGTCCTAAATGGAAAAAAAAAAAGGATGACTAAATAAGTTCGATATTCTAATATAACGGTGTGAGTTGGAGTTACCCTTCATTTTCGTCTAGAAAAAGGGTTTATAAGAGTTTATTCTTTCTCTTGGGAATTCGATTCCACCGAGCAGTCTTTCTCATTGTTACGTAGGAAGCCTCCAAAAGTCACATCCTTCTGTACATGCCTGGAGTCTAATAAAAGTTAAACAAAGAGAAGCTGATTGGAGTGGAAGGTTCATCTTATTATTTAACATGGACTTTCTCCTTTAAGAAAAAAAAAATCTGCTATATTAGCTCAAAAATCTGTCTCTGCTTATCAAGAATGTGGTCCTACGAGAAAACAATTTATAGAATATTTTTTTCCATGTTGTCGGCGGTTTTGACGGACGATTAGATATCGGGTTCCTTTGTATAATCTCTTCCTCATGAGACTGCTTTTAGTTTACGGTTCATATTGATCCTCAAATGATTTTTCAAATTTTTTACGTTTTTTTGTTGTGTAGTACACTGTTGTCAATTTGTAAGTTGGGAATTAGTTGGATGCGCGTTCCGTGCACAGCTGCTTCCATCAACCTTGGGGCATAAATTCTTTTCTTTCCTGGATATATGTCAGAATCTTCATACATAAAGATGATTAGTTCCATCTTCTTTTTCCATGTTTTGTAAATTTTTCTTGAGCCACTAGCATGGTAAGTTTTTGTGCATTTCTCATGTAAATTGACCTCAAACTGTCTGCATTAAGGATATGTCGTTTTTGAGATCAGAGTTTCTTTGTTTCTGGTTAAGTCTATTTGGTCGTTGTGTTGGGAAAAACAGCTTATTTTGCCAGCTTCCACAGTTTTCTGAGGTCGTGGTTCTGCTTTGAAAAGCCTGTTACTCGTGTCTGATCTTCTTAGACTCATAGTTGTCCCTAACATACAAATGATTGTATCAAAGACCCTAAAATGGGAGATTTGTTATTATTACATCGGTTTCTTGCTCTTAGACGGATAGGTGCTCTTGACCTTTATTTTGGTGATTTGCTGATGCGCGGTGTTCGCCATCAACAGTGAATACCATGATAGTGTACATTCAAGTATAAATCAGCAACCAAATCAAAGCTACAATGCTCTATCGACAATTTCTTTTCTTTTTCTTTGTGTCCATAGAGGTTACTCCGACTCATCTGTTGAGGCAATGTACCCGTATCTATAGGGACATGCGTATGGGTGCGGGTACAGGGATACTTCATATTGAGCTCAAAATTTGCAAGTTTGTCTCATGGCAGACCTGCTACAGTCTGAATCACCATAACTAGAATGTCGAAAAAAGATTATGTGAAATTCAAGGAATAATTATTCAATGTCCTACAAAATTATGAACCATGGCTTATATTCTGCTTACCAAGAGCGAAAATGCATATTGATTCTATGTTTTCCTAAAACCAAGTATTAGCACACAAGTTTTACATACTCATATACAGAGTCCACTTGTCATCCATCTCGATACATAGACGACTCAGCCGTACCAGACACCTTTCTGAGTTGTACAATTAATCCCCATTTAGAGTGGACAACCTCCGTTCTTGAATTTGGTGTTGCATGTAGTTGTCTAGACTCTAATTTCGCAGTGTCGACCATCAATTCCATGGCACCAGTACGTGCAGTGTCTTCTATAGTCATTGCAGACCTAAGAAGAGCAATCGCGTGGATTGAAAATCTGTGCAGTAAAAGAAAATCTTTTGATCTCACAAATTGAGCTGAATCAGCATTTTGCAGCATCTCATTCTCTTGTGAACTGGCATAAGCAGGTGTGGCTGGACAGTTTCACTGTTTCGAGCTCGCACTCACAGATGTAAACGGGAAAAGAACAAGGTAAGTAGTTGTCATGGGTTGCGTTATTTCAAAGAAGTCTGGGCATACACCTGGATATGAAGAGCCTAACGTTCTTGCTGCTGCAACACCTTGTAAGTGTCCATCCTTTAGATGTTAAGTTTCTGCATTTACTTTTCTTTAGATTGTTCTAATGAAGCTTTACTGTAACCCGGATTTTCTTTTCCGATTCATTTTTACTCTGACAATTCTCGAGAAGCTCATTCATCCGATTGAGCATTGTCACCTCCTCTACACTCATTTTGCGTACAGTTCAGGATTACTTCATCGGGGACAGATGGGGAAAGTATTATTTATAGGCTCTTCCATAAAGTCATATGGTACTTAAACTGTGCGGCCCTGCCGATAAAGGGATTGGGGGGTGGGGACACTAGTATCACAAGTGCGGGGTTTGACTTTCGCGCTCTGCAAGAGGCAGAGCAAAAGTTGGAGAGTTAAAGATAAGACGGACAAAAAAAAAAAGTCATATGGTACTTAAATTGTGATGCTACGCACCTTCATCACTTTGACCATTCAAGTTTCTTAAATGCAGTTACTGCAAGCGAAGTCGAGGCCTTATACGTGCTCTTCAAGAAATTAAGTAGTTCAATTATCGCTGATGGGCTTATTCACAAGGTGTGCTTTGAACCTGCATTTGATACTTGAGTTAAATCTCTTTACCTTTGGCTGTCAGTTGTCTCTTGCTGGGTCATCTTCTTCTAGTCTAGTCTTGCTTCATCACAAGACACTAAAAACGTTAATTATGCACTTGTTTCTGCTATTTAAAGCTGAAAATTATTGCAATTTATGCTGTACATTGAGCAGGAAGAGTTTCAGCTTGCTCTTTTCCGGAACAGAAATCGGAGGAATCTTTTTGCCGACAGGGTGTGGAATTTGGACTCACTTCGACTCGACTGAGATCATTTCATTTATGTCCTGTAATCTGATACAGTCAATCGTCAGACTTAGATAAAAAGAAATTAATGGGAACTTAAAATACTATTGATCTAACAAAGTGACACTATTTGTGATATTTCTCATTCGCTAGACTGACGCTCCTTTCTTTTTCCTGTTGATACATGAAACATTGGTATCATATACTGCAGATATTTGATTTGTTCGATATGAAAGGGAATGGGGTCATTGAGTTTGGGGAATTCGTAAGATCGCTTGGCATCTTTCACCCGAATGCACCATTAGAAGACAAGATTGCATGTGAGAAAACTTCAAATATACCTTCTTTTCTTTCTTCTTTTGTTCCCATTATGCAGCTTTTACCATTTAATTTTCACTAAAATTCGATTAAAATTACTTTTTCCTGTTGGAACATAATGTTAACATGAGTAGCTATGATAGCTGAATCGTGAGACTTTTCCACAGTTGCTTTCAGGTTGTACGACTTGAGGCACACCGGATTTATCGAGCGAGAAGAGGTGAGGACGGTATCTCCTCTTTTCTGCTGTTGCATGGACATCTTGATAGTCGCTCAAACTGTTCTTAATTTCTCATGGAGTGGCATAACAAATCTCGGTTTCAATTTACAGTTGAAGGAAATGGTATTAGCACTTCTTCACGAATCGGATTTGGTACTCACGGAGGATGTCGTGGAAACCATTGTGGATAAGGTGCGATACTCGACTTTCACGTGCAAATTATCCTTGGTTCGGTACTTTAAACATTCTGAAACCGGTTGTTGAATTAACAGGCATTTAGTGAAGTCGATACAAAAGATGACGGACGGATTGATCAGGAAGAGTGGAAGGACTTTGTGTTGAAGAATCCTTCTCTGATAAGAAATATGACTCTTCCATATCTAAAGTAAGTAAACCGGAACAAGATGAACCTATAGGTCATATCAATGCAACGAACAGCCTCTCTACTTTGAACTTTAATACCCTTGTAAAGAGAAAGATAACCCAAAAACTGTCCACCATTCATCTGTCTCTGGTCATGTCGGTTCGTCAATTTTGTGGTGGGCACCGCATTGTGAACGCGATTACTCTGTACGAGTTATATGCTACAGCTCTTTTTTACTTTTTGCACCTTCTGCAGGGATATAACATCGGCATTTCCCAGTTTCATAGTGAGTTCTGTGTATGAAGATTCAGAAGTATGACTCTGTTCCATCATGAAGGCGTCGAGGACATGTCGGATCGATGTCATATGGAACTAGATGATGCTCTGAATACCTGCCTAGTACAAGCTGTCGTTGGAGCGAGGTAAAATCTGAAAGCAGGAAGGAGAATAAGATGCAGCACCGCCATTTTATCGACAGAGCGGCGTGGAGACAATGGATATGTTATGGATTGATGGAGCATTCAAAGCCTCTCGTGTCTTTCAATTTTTTAGTTCAGAAAGATTTGAGTGGATGCATGGAAGAGAGGCGTATTTGCAATGTATATGGTTAACTTTTATTACGGAAAATAACCGCGCAAAATCATTGTTGTCTAGCAGCCCTTGTTAGCGTACACTCGATTGGGTTTTACTTGTTCTTCAATTTAATTTAAATCTATAGCCCTGTACGTAATATGTCGATTTATTACGGAATGATCACACAACCCCTTAAATATTCAGCACGAAAGGAATGATCAAACCCTCGGATGGAACTGAACAAGATTTGGCGAACGAATACAAAGGTCAAAGGCTTTATTATTGATGCGATGATGTATCGGATGACCTTCATAAATTATGTAGTTAGGGAGATTCTGATTAAGATGAAATCTACTCCCTCTAATGTTCAGTCTCAAGATGCATGCCTCACATGCCAAATTTCTAAATACTAATTACGTGTAATCGATTCGGATGTATCAAGTTGATGTCATGGTGTTGTTTTATGTATGAATGTGCAACCATCTTCTCAATCTTTTGGCTAGAGCGAAAAATTGATTCGGAATTCCTAAACCTAAAATTAATATTGTAATCAAGTCAAATAGGGGTTATTAATCGACGGACGGTCGACGCTATACCCATCGGCTAATTATTAAATATCTTCTCATTTCTTGCCTTTTTTTTTCGCTTTGCCATGAATATTTTTTTGTCGATCAGCATCATATGCACTTATCAATAAGCACACGAGAAACGTCAATGTTAATTTTGAGGGACCTCCATCCTACCTAACACGAATATACAAATCATTGTCATACCCGACATATAAGAGAATAATGCTCGTTTGACATAATTTTCTTTTTGTTTACGCGTGCACGTACCTAAAATTTTATGTGCGGGTACATAGATCGCAATCGGAATTTTGCAAAGACAACGAAAACTAAATTCAGCCCATGACAAGGCACTTGAGGATAATCTGTGCGACTTTTTCTTTTTTGAGAAAATGACATAAATGGTCCATGAACTTTGATCTAATATGCAATGTGATCATGAACTTTTAATTTATTCAATGCGGTCCCTGAACTTTAGCCCAAGGTGCAATGTCATCCCTAGCCTCTTTAAATTGTTTAATGTGATCCCTAGACGTTTAGTACATGTTTAATATTGTCCGCAAACTAAATTGAACATATACCAAAAGTTCAAGGATTGCATTGAATAAATTAAAGGGAAAATTTTAATTAAGGACCCCAAGTGGGGTCAAATTCTCAAAAAATGGTCTAAAGTGAACATAGTGTCAAATAAAGGCCTGAAGTGCTCAATCGGTATCAAATAAGGACTCGAAGTGCCCAAAAAGTCTCAAATAAGGACACGGGTCCCGTCGCCAAAATACTGCCGCCGGCGAGAGAAAAGTTTTGTTCAGACCGAACGTAACTTTTAATTTTTATTATTTTCTTTCTGTTTTTCCTTTTCTTTTTTTTTCTTCTCTTCCTCTGCTAGAGGCGGGCCGGGACGGGAGGTCGCCGGCCTCAGGCGAGGCCGCCCTCGCCGGCATCGGGTGAGGGCCGCCCTCGCCTGGGCTGGGCGAGGTCGCCTTCGCCGGCGTCGGGCGAGGGCTGCCCTCGCCTGGGCTGGGCGAGAGGCCGGCCTCGCTCGACGCCGGCGAGGGCGACCTCGCCCAGCCCAGGCGAGGGCAGCCCTTGCCCGACGTCAGCGAGGGCGGCCTCGCCTGAGGTCGGCGACCTCCGTCGGCCTCGGCTCTGGCAGGCGAAGGAAGAGAAGAAAAAAAAAAAGAAAAGGAAAAGGAAAAGAAAAAAAACAGAAAAGGAAAAACATAAAGAAAATAATAAAAATTTAAAAAGTTCTTGTTCGGTGCCGGAATAGTAACTTTCTCGCCGGCAGCGGTATTTTTTACGGGAGTCAGTCCTTATTTGAGACTTTTTGGGCACTTCGGGTCCTTATTTGAAACTGATTGGGCACTTCAGGCTCTTATTTGACACAATATTCACTTTGGACCCTTTTTTGAGAATTTGACCCCACTTAGGGTCCTTAATTGGAATTTTTCCTAAATTAAAAGTTCAGCGACGACTTTTTGGCTTTTTTATTAATGGTTAAGGTTTGAAATTTATTTTAATAATATTGAGCCCTTCAAATTTTTTTTAAGATATAAATTAAATAATATTTGAAATCACTATTACCGTTTTCATACTTTCAAAAATTTAAAGTAACATGTTCTCTTACTTTTACGGGGATAATGAAAGCCCGTTGCGCCGGACCAAAAGGTTCCTTTTGAATTTGCCCTCATAAGGCTAAAAACTTTAGAGTTAATACCACAAAAAATTCTAAACTGATACACATGTGACAAATTTACTTTAAAATAATTTTTTGACCCCAAAATCCCAAACTAGTATACTAGTAATAAATTTACCCGAAACTAATGTTTTGACCGTCAAAAACCCCAAACTGATATACCTGTAACAAATATACCCTCCGTTAAATTGAATTAATAACACGAAAAATCATAAATTGGTAAATATGTAAAAAGCAGAGGAGTAAAACCCTAAACTGATACATCCATCAACTACCACATGCCATCTAACTCAGCAATTTGACGGTAAAATTTAACGAAAACTAACGGAGGGTAAATTTATCACAGGTGTACCAGGATGGAGTTTTTTACAGTCATAAAATTAGTTTGGGGTAAATTTGTCACAAGTGTATCAGTTTAGGGTTTTTTGTGGTATTAACCCAAAACTTTAAAATGTCATGAAAAAATTAGAGTGACTTCAATGTTATTATTCATATATTTCTAAAATCGTGAGGTACTTCGACGCTGAAAATCTGAGGTACTTAAAATTAAGTCCAAGCCTAATTTCAAAGTTTGAGGTACAAAGTCCAAGAAAAAGACCCACCTGCGCATGGCCGAGTTGATGGGCACTTTCCTTCCCTCAGAGAGGTTTTAGGTTCGAATCCCCGTTGGTTCCGTAATTTAAGTGGGGGGCTCTGGCGGTGGGTTGCTGGGCTAGTCTCCCCCAAGGTATAGACGCCCCGATTACCTGTGCGGGCTCGTCCCCGGGGAATGGCGACAGATCTTCGGTTACCAAAAAAAAAAGTCCAAGAAAAAGTCAAAATTTGACAATAATGCCCAATTACAAAATATGGAAATATTGATGTGTAGGCTCCATTTGTTTCGCGAAAAATAAATAATTTAGAAAATATTTTCCTAAAACTGATCGTCTATATCGCTTAAAATAATTAGTCAATGAAAAATGTTTCATGATCGACAATAATTTATGTGTAAATATTTTCATTGATGATGGAATTTTTTTCCGTTCGTTCAATTTTGTAAGGGATACAATAGATTATTTTTAAGAAAATATTTTTTAAATTATTTATTTTTTGCGAAATAAATGCACATGTAGAATCATTTAGAATTTTCTTAGTAATTTTATGAGATTAAAGGTATCGGTTCTCCTTTACAAAATTAAGCAAAAGCAAAAGTGCTTCTTTTTATCTTGTTGGCTATTTTAATCCAGGATAAACGGACAAGCCAAAGGGGAGACCTTGAATTGGTGGCGTGGACCGACTCGACGCCTCACCCTTTTTGATCCATTTGATGATTTCCTTTCCAATCGCCATTACTGCTCCCTCATCAGCGACATGAAAAAGGGCAAAAAACAAAATATCCAAGAAAAGAAAAAACAATGATGTGAAAGTCCAATGAAAAGTCTTGAAAAAAAGGCATGCATGATCATGGCCCAATTATTCGTTGTATGGTCACAACACGTGAATAATGCTCCATGCAATCTACATAAGGTGTCGGTGTCGGGGTATTTCTCTCTCTCTCTCTCTCTCTTTCTCTATATAATATGGGTTAATACTACCGAAAATCCCAAACTAATACACTTGTGACAAATTTAACAAAAATTAAGTTTTTTACTACTAAAAATTCCAAACTGGTACATATGTGATAAATTTACCATATATTAGTTTCCGTTAAATTTTACTGTCAAGTCATTGAGTTAAATGACACGTGGCAGTTGACGGATATATTGGTTTGGGGTTTTACCCTCCGTTTGTCACAGGTGTACAAGTTTGTGATTTTTTTTTTGTATTAATCAAATTTAACGGATGATAAATTTGTCATAAGTGTACCAGTTTTGGATTTTTCGTGGTTAAAAAAATTAGTTTGGGGTAAATTTGTCATAAATAAATCAGTTTTGAGTTTTTCGTGATATTAACCCATGTAATATATATATATATTACTTTGAAATTATATATCTAATGAATAGTACGTGATTTGAATTAAATAAGTTTCTACATATCAAACAGTGTACGCTGGCAAACAACATTATGCAAGAAATGAAGATTTTCCAAAGAGAGTTTCGATAGAGATTATTTTCAAGACAACCGTTAAGTAGATTAAATATGAAAAGTCCTAATTTTGAATCTAATGGCTTTTCTTGCAATATGTACGATCCATTATTTGAAAACCAAATTTTTTTGCTATAAAGTATCCTTAAAAAGTGCTTCAAGACATTTCTTAACATGACCCTTATGCTAATACACGCCAATAAGCAAGAAAGAGAAACTTGATATCCAGTGTAAAATGCTACTAGAGAATTATTAGCGGTAAAAAATTTAATATTTCAAAATGGGTTAATCTTAAAGGGGAAAGAAGGAAAATTTTCTTAATTTACAATCAACTACATTAACTATTTATGAAAATAAACAGAGTAAGTAATCTCATTCTCCAATGTCAACTTATTCATGTGGTGCATTTGCAAAAAGAACTCGTTAAGTCTTGAATTGAATATATTCTTCCACCTCTTATTGGAGGAAACTTCTCCGACCATATTTTTAATTTGCGGTATATAAGTTGTTAACATTATCGGAAGGCTAATTCAATTAAAATTGAAAGCGAGTGATGTCGATTTTTGCAACTTACAGTCATAGGCACAATTGCAGAAGATTTCCTCCAACCAGGAATGAAGGAAAGGACAGCCCTTCTTAGATTGCTAACCTCTAATTCGATAAAATCATGCAACAATCTCAAAGTTACCTAAATTGAGGATCAAAGTTAGGATGACCAATCACAAAATTGTTTGCACCTCGTGAAACATGGGATCAAAGCTATCTTGCACTTATATGCACGTATGCATGTTAATGACAATAAGCCAACCCTCCCTTGAATTCCTATATTTGCGAAAAATATTCTCAATTTGCACTTATATATGCACAGCACAACATTGGATTATGTACACTCTTAATCGTCTAAATTATACTAGTTGTGTGATTTGGCCTTCGAAGTTTATTTTTGCAAACAATTATCGATGCTGTTATAAAGATGATGTGGACATGACGGACATTTTGTGTTTTTTTTTTTAAAGACATTTTGTATTTTTTTTTTTGGTCAGAAAGACATCTTATGTTGATGTGGCGCTAAATAACTCCTTGAGGGTCGCCTAACTCTCGTGAGTAGAAGGTTAGGATCTCCTACTCTCACAGTAGGAGGAGTGAGTGTCGTGCGACTCTTGCTAGAGCCTTGCCGAACTCTTGTGAGTATAAGGTTAGGATCTCTTGCCCTCATGGTAGAGGGTGTTAGGACATCACAAGTGCTATAACTTTCGTACGGCGCTTACTTGAATGTCATAACCTTTTTTTTTTTTCAATTCCTTGAATGTTATAATTTATGTACGGCGCTCACTTGATACCATAACTTTTTTTCATATAACTTTTTAATTAATTATTTGAATGTCATAACTTTTGAAAAACGTTCACCACAAGTACGTACGACATTTAAGTGAACGTTTTTTAAAAGTTATATCACTTAAATAATCGAAAAAAAAAAGTTATGTCAGCCGTGGTATCCTTATTCTTGCGAACTCTGTTGAATACTTACACTTTAAAAAAATTACCATTTGCATGGTGGATCCGAGTTAGCCCAATCAGATTCAACACAGAATTTATGGATCCGTCCGTCCATGAAATACATTTGGCCATAACTGCAGGACAAGACAAAGTGGAGGAAGACAAGTTTTGAACTCTCAACTCTTCATCCACGTCGATCTCCGCGAGTTCACAGATAGCTCCCCCCATTTGGCAGTTCGAAAGCGAAGTCGCAAGCTCAACAGATTTCCATGGGAGGACAGCGAGAGTGAGAGAGAGAGAGGGAGGGAGGGAGACACATGAACCAAGAAAGCTGCTCTCTGTTCTCAGAGAAGTTCCAAGACGTGCAGAGCAACCAAATATCTAGGAAATCCATTCCCCCATAGATAAAAACAGAGCACGAGAAAGAATCCCGCAAAAATTCACGTCTCTCTTCCTTTCCTCCGTCACCAATTTCTGGTCAGTCCTCGACTCCTCTCTCTCTCTCTCTCTCTCCGAGTCATTGATGGGGGTTGTGATGTTATCCGCCCACTTCAAGGACTTGCCCTGTTGTCCTCCTGGTTTTGATTCTCCTTGCTTCCTTTCGCTTATGCTCCTTGGGGTTGCTGAGCAAAACACGAGAAAGAATCAAAAGCTTTCATGCTCCTTGTCTATGTTTTCATCGGTTTTCCTCCATGCAAATGCAGGGCAAAGTTCTTTCTTTCGTTCTCTTTCTTTTCCTCCCTCTTTTGGTAAATTTCTTGATCTTTATTTGCTTTAACTGGTCGTAAATGGAAAGAAAGGATGATTACATAAATTCGATATTCTGATATGACAGTTCGAGTTGGAGTTACCCTTCATTTTCGTCTAGCAAATGGTTTATAAGAGTTTATTCTTTCTCTTGGGAATTCGATTCCACTGAGCAGTCTTTCTCATTGTTACGTAGGAAGCCTCCAAAAGTCATATCCTTCTGTACATGGCTGGAGTCTAACAAAAGTTAAACAAAGAGAAGTTGATTGGAGTGAAAGGTTCATTTCATTATTTTAACATGGACTTTCTCTTTTGAGAAATAAAAGATCAGCTAGATTAGCTCGAAAAATCTGTCTTTGCTTCTTAAGAATGTGGTCCTATGAGAGAACGATTTAAAGGATATTTTTTTCCACATTGTCGGCGGTTTTAACGGGCGATTAGATATTGGGTTCCTTTGCATAATCTCTTCCTCATGAGAACGGTTCATATTGATTCCTCAAACGATTTTTCAAATTCTTTACGTTTTTTTTTGTTGTGTAATACACTGTTGTCAATTTGTAAGTTGGGAATTAATTGGATGCGCGTACCGTGCACAGCTGCTTCCATCAACCTTGAGGCATAAATTCTTTTCTTTCCTGGATATATGTCAGAATCTTCATATTTAAAGATGATTAGTTCCATCTTCTTTTTTCATGTTTTGTAAATTTTTCTTGAGCCGCTTGCGTGGTAAGTTTTTGTGCAGACATCGTTTTTGAGATCAGAGTTTCTTTGTTTCTGGTTTAGTCTATTTGGTCATTGTGTTGGGAAAAACAGCTTATTTTGCCAACTTCTACAGTTTTCTGGGGTCATGGTTCTGCTTTGAAAAACCTGTTACTCATGTCTCATCTTCGTAGACTCATAGTTTTCCCTAACATAGAAATGATTGTATCGAAGACCCAAAAATGGGAGATTTGTTATTATTGGGTCGGTTTCTTGCTCTTAGACACATAGGTGCTCTCGACCTTTAATTTGGTGATTTATTGATGCGCGGTGTTCGCTATCAACAGCGAATACCATGATAGTGTACATTCAAGTATACATCAGCAACCGAATCAAAGCTACAATGCTCTTTCAACAATTTCTTTTCTTTTTCTTTGTGTCCGTCGAGGTTGCTCTGACTCATGTTGAAGCGATGTACCCGCATCTATAGGATAAGACATGGGCATGGGTGCGGGTACGGGGATACTTCATATTGAGCTCAAAATTTGCAAGTTTGTCTCATGGCAGACCTGCTACAGTCTGAATCACCATAACTAGAATGTTGAAGAAAGATTATGTGACATTTGAGGGGTGATGATTCAATGTCCTACAAAATTATGAACCTTGGCTTATGTTCTGCTTACCAAGAGCGAAAATGCAGATTGATTCTATGTTTTCGGATAACCAAGTATTAGCAATCAAGTTTTACACAATCATACACAGAGTCCATGTGTCATCTATCTCGATACATAGATGACTCAGCCATACCAGACACCTTTCCGAGTTACAATTAATCTCTATTTAGAGTGGACACCCTCCGTTCTTGAATTTTGTGTTGCATGAGGTTGTCTAGACCCTGATTTCGCAGTGTTGACCATCAATTCCGCGACACCAGTGGGTGCAATCTCTTCTACAGTCATTGCAGACCTAAGAAGAGCAATCGCGTGGATTGAAAATCTGAGCAGTAAAAGAAAACCTTTTGATCTCACAAATTGAGCTGAATCAGTATTTTGCAGCATCTCATGCTCCTGTGAACTGGCATTGGCAGGTGTGGCTGGACAGTTTCACTGTTTCGAGCTCACAGATGTATACGGGAAAAGAGCAAGGTAAGTAGTTGCCATGGGTTGCGTTATTTCAAAGAAGTCTGGGCATACACCTGGATATGAAGAGCCTAAAGTTCTTGCTGCTGCAACACCTTGTAAGTGTCCATCCTTTAGATGTCAAGTTTCTGCATTTACTTCCCTTTAGATTGTTCTGATGAAGGTTTACTGTAACCCGGATTGTCTTTTCCGATTGATTCTTAACCTGTCCATTCTCGAGAAGCTCATTCATCCGATCGAGCATTGTCACCTCCTCTACCCTCATTTTGCATACAGTTCAGAATTACTTCATCGGGGACAGATGGGGAAAGTATTATTTATAGGCTCTTCAATAAAGTCATATGGGTAATTAAACTGGGATGCTACCCTCCTTCATCACTTCATCCATTCAAGTTTCTTGACTGCAGTTACTGCAAGCGAAGTCGAGGCCTTATACGTGCTCTTCAAAAAATTAAGTAGTTCAATTATTGCCGACGGGCTTATTCACAAGGTGTGCTTTGAACCTGCATTTGATACTTGAGTGAAATCTCTCAGCCTTTGGCTATCAGTTGTCGCTCGCTGGGTCATCTACTTCTAGCCAAGTCTTGCATGATCACAAGACTCCGAAAAGGTTAATTATGCACTTGTTTCTGCTACTTAATGCTGAAAATCATTGCAATTTATGCTGTACATTGAGCAGGAAGAGTTTCAGCTTGCTCTTTTCGGGAACAGAAATCGGAGAAATCTTTTTGCCGACAGGGTATGGAATCTAGACTCACTTCGACTCGACGGAGATCCTTTTACTTTCATTTATATCCTGTAATCTGATACAGTTGATCGCCAGACTTAGATAAAAAGAAATGGAAATTTCAAATAATATTGATCTAACAAAGTGCCACTCACAACTTTTTTGTGAATTTTCTCATTCACTAGACTGACGCTCTTTTCTTTTTACTGCTGATACATGAACCATTGGTATCATATATTGCAGATATTCGATTTGTTCGATATGAAAGGGAATGGGGTCATTGAGTTTGGGGAATTCGTAAGATCGCTCGGCATCTTTCACCCGAATGCACCAACGGAAGACAAGATTGCATGTAAGAAAACTTCAAATATACCTTCTTTTCTTTTTTCTTTTGTTCCCATTATGCAGCTTTTACCTTTTAATTTTCACTAAAATTCGATTTAAATTGCTTTTTCCTGTTGGAACATAATGTTAACATGAGTAGCTACGATAGCCGAATTGTGAGACTTTTCTGTTGGGATAAATTTGAAGGTGAAACACTCTCAATTCACATAATCTCAAGGAAGAGAAGGAGATGGATAGACTTTTCTGTTTTCTTCATTTCACCTTATCAAAATAATTACAAAACATCCCGATTTATAGGCTTGTTACATGACTCTTAGACTTACTCTGAAATGACTCATAAATGAACTCTACCGTTCCAAAGAGATAGGTTTCTAGGAATTTACACAACATTAACTAGACCTAGAAATATGAACGGTCAAGACATAGAAATACGAACGGACTCTTTGAAAAAACAATACTACGATAAAGACTCTTCTTGAATGCGTGCACCATTCTTGGAAGTCGAACGGCCTTCGGTAACTTGTTTAATGAATCGGCAACTTCCAATGAATTTGATTTAATTTCTAACACTCCCCCTTAAACCAAATTCTCTTCCATCAATCATTCCAAGCAAACTCTTGAACTTCTGAAAAGCATCGATCTTCAGAGGTTTCGTAAAAATATCTGCTACTTGATCTCCAGTCTTCATATGTGACACTTCAATTTCCTTCTCGTTCACATGTTCTCGAATAAAGTGATATTGAACATCGATATGTTTGCTTCGTTAATGAAAAATTGGATTTTTTGCCAAAGCAACAGCAGAAACATTACCAACAAAAATCTCTATCGATTTCAACTACTCCACATGAATTTCTTTGAGAAGTTTCTCAACCATATTGCATGACAAACACATGAAGATGCCGCTACAATATTCAACTTTCACATGTCGAAAGAGTAACACTAGGTTGCTTTTTTGATGACCAGGTGAAAGTGGTGTCACACAAGAAAAACACAAAGCCCGTAGTGCTTTTTTGTTCATCGATGTCCCCACCATAATCACCGTCTGAATAAGCTCTAAGCCGAAAGGATGAAGACTGATAGTAGTGTAACCCATGAGAAATCATACCTTTGATGTAGCGAAGTATCCTCTTTGCCGCTTTAAGATGAGATGACTTCGGTTTCTCCATGTATCGACTCACAATTCCAACACTATACATGATATCCGGTCTCGTACATGTCAAATATCTCAAGCTTCTAATCAAGTTTCTATAGTACGTTGGATCAACAACGACACCTTCGTCAAACTTCGAGAGCTTGGTTCCGCACTCCATCGGTGTATTGACCGTTGTACAATTCTTCATGTTGAATTTTTCAAGGATATTTCTGCATATCCTTTTTGGGAAATAAAAATCCCACCCGCACTTTGCTTCACTTCGATGCTAAGAAAATAATTCATGAGACCATTATCCGTCATCTTAAATTCCTTCACCATCGATGCCTTATTGTTGAATTATTTCCTGTAAAAACAAGGTCATCGACATATAAACAAGCCAATAAAACATCACATTTATCTTGTTTCAAATAAAGTGCACGTTCGTATGGACATTGAGAGAAGCCATTTGCTGTGACATAGGCATCGATTCTGGAATTCCACGCTCTAGGTGCTTGTTTAAGCTCATATAGATCTTTCTTCAATCTTAGCACTTTATCTTCATGACCTTTCACAATAAATCCCTCGGGTTGCTCGACATAAATCTCTTTATCAAGGATGCCATTTAAAAATGCCGATTTGACATCCATTTGATAATTTGCCAGCCATTTTGAGCGGCAATAGAAATGATTAGTCTAGTCGTTTCCATGCAGATGACAGGAGTAAAAACTTCATCATAATCGATTCCAACCTTTTGTTTGTATCCCTTCGCGACTAATATAGCCTTGTACCTTGTCACTTCTCATTTCTCGTTCTTTTTAGCCTTGTACACCCATTTCACACCGATCGGTTTCTGGTCCTTCGGAAGATTAGAAAGCTCCCATGTCTTATTCTTCTTAATGGCTTCAATTTCTTCATTCATGGCTTTTCTCCATTTTTCTTCTTTGGCTGCATCATCATAGATAAGCGGTTTAAAATCTGCAAGAAGGCATACAAGGTGAAGCTCATCGGTAGCTTCATAAATTTCAGATAATCTCCTTGATCTTGGCACTAGCGGTTCATCGACACCATTTGAAGAAGTTGGTGGTGATGAACTTGAAGAAGATATCGGAGAAGAAGGTGAAGAGAGATCCTTTAACTCCATTTGGCTTGAATCACCATGAGCATTTGCTTTATCTTTTTGAATTTCTTCTCACGTTCCTTCTTCATCGAACTTGACATCTCTGCTTATATACACTTTCAAAGTGTTAGGATCAAATAATCGATAGGCTTTGGATGATGAATCATACCCGATAAAAATGAGCTTTTTGCTCGTCTTCCAACTTCAATCTTTTCTGGTCCGGAATATGAGCATAGGCAATGCTCCCGAAAGTTCTCAAGTGCGAAACATTTGATGTTCTCCCGCTCCATGCTTCTTGTGGAGTTACGCCTTCAAATCCATATGCAGGACATCTATTTTGTAGATAAACAGCACACATAATAGCTTCACTCCAAATCTCCTTGGGCAAATTTTTGCTTTTCAATATGCTACGAACCATATCAAGAGTGGTTCTATTTTTTCGTTTAGCCATGCCATTTTGTTGAGGAGAATATGGAGCCGTCAAGAATCACCGAATACCATGATCTTCACAGAATTTGTTGAATATGGCCAAGGTGAATTCTCCTCCTCGATTTGTCCTTATGGCTTTGATAAATAGCCACTTTCTTTTTCAACTAAGCTCTTGAATTGTTTGAAAGTATCAAACACTTCTGACTTTTCTTTCAAAAAATACACCCAAGTTTTTCGAGTAAAATCATCAATAAAAGTAACAAAATATCGATGTGTTTGAGGAGTGATTGGGCCACACACATTAGAGTGAATCAACTCAAGTGGCTTCTTTGCTCGAAAATATACTTCCTTTGGAAAGCTAGTTCTGGAATGCTTGCTGATAACACACCCTTCATATAATTGATCGGGATGATCAATATGTGGTAAACCATAAACCATCTTATTACGAGAAAGCAAATTGAGTCCACCAAAATTGATTTGGCCGAACCTCAAATGCCACAACCATGAAGGATTATCAACGCATGTCTTTAAGCATCGAGACATTTCATTCTTTATATTGAGAGTGAACATTCTGTTCTTCGACATCTTTACATTTGCCATCAATTTATTATTTTTTTCTCTTAACACAAGGCTGAGATTTTTCATGTGGACAGTATAACCTTTCTCCAGAAGCTGTCCCAAACTCAAGATATTGCTTGACATCTTTGGTACATAATAAACATTAGTAATAAACTGATGTGCACCATTTTTCAAACGAATCAGAATTGTACCTTTGCCTTCGACGAGAATTTTGGAATTATCTCCGAACGAGACTTTCCCTTTGACTGTCTCATCTAACTTGGCAGACATCTCCTTTCGCCCACACATGTGGTTGCTTGCGCTGGTGTCCAAGTACCACGTATCATTTTGTCCTCCTTCATCTTCTTTGAATGCCAATAAAAGAATTTGCTCGGCATCATTCACCAAGTTTGCCTTTTCGTCTGCTGTGCTGCTCTCTTTGTTCCAATAGTCAGAAGCATAATGGCCAAGTTTATTACAATGATAACATCGAATTTTAGATTTATCATACCATTGCCCTCTCGAGTTATGTTCTCTTCCACGAACACCTCTTTAATTTTGGTATCTTCCATTATTTCGAGCAATATCTCCTCTGCTTCGTCCACGACCTCTTCCTTGAAAGCGACATTAGCCTCGACCTTGATCACGATCTTGATTAGTCCCTTGAGTTTGCACGGGATTTCTACTTTGCTCCTTCTTATCTCAAATGGTCAACCGAGTTTGGAGTACTTCCTCCATCAGTTCATTCTTGTTTCTTCTGAATCTTTCTTTATGGGCTTGTAATGAACCCATGAGCTCATCAATCGTCATGGCATCAAGATCTTTGGACTCTTTGATTGCAACGCCAATATGGTTGTACTTTTTGTCTAAGGATCGAAGAATTTTCTCAACAACACGAACATTTGGAACATCTTCTCCATTTCTTTTCATTTGGTTGACAATTGCCAACACTTTTGTGAAATAATCGGTAATCGATTCGGATTCTTTCATACGGATTGCTTTGAATTCATCTCTCAAAGTTTGAAGGCGAATCTTCTGAACTTTTTGCACTCCTTGGTATGTGTTGTGAAGAATCTCCTATGCTTCCTTAGAAGTAGTAGCATTCGACACCATCTCGAACATCAAATCATTTAAAGCTTGATAGATGATTGACAAGGCATATTGATCTTTTGCTCGAACTTTCTCCACGGCATTCCTCTGGTTTTGATTCAACGTGGCATCGTCCTTTGGCTCATCATAGCCGGTGTTGGCAACTTCCCACACACTATAGGCGCCAAGAAGAGCTTTCATTCTAGCAGCCTAATTACCATAATTTTCTTTGATAAGACGAGGTATTGAAGAGGAAGCTGATTGTTTGTTGAGGCCATGATCATAAACTGTAAGCTTTGATACCAATTTAATTTGTTGAGATACATTCGAAGGTGAAACACTCTCAATTCACATAATCTCGGGGAGGAGAAGGAGATGGATAGACTTCTCTGTTTTCTTTATTTCACCTTATCAAAATAATTACAAAACATGCCGATTTTTTTTTGGTAAAGTACAAAACATGCCGATTTATAGGCTTGTTACATGACTCTTAGACTTATTCTTAAATGACTCATAAATGAACTCTACCGTTCCAAGGAGATAGGTTCCTAGGAATTTACACAATATTAACTAGACCTAGAAACACGAACGGTCAAGAAATAGAAATACGAACGGACTCTTTGAAAAAACAATACTACAATAAAGACTCTTCTTGAATGCGTGCACCATTCTTGGAAGTCAAACGGCCTTCGGTAACTTGTTTAATGAATCGGCAACTTCCAATGAATCTGGTTTAATTTCTAACATTTTCCACAGTTGCTTTCAGGTTGTATGACTTGAGGCACACCGGATATATCGAGCGAGAAGAGGTGAGGACGGTATCTCCTCTTTTCTGCTGTTGCATGGACATCTTGACAGTTGCTCAAATTGTTCTTAATTTCTCATGGAGTGGCATAATAAATCTCGGTTTCAATTTACAGTTGAAGGAAATGGTATTGGCACTTCTTCACGAATCAGATTTGGTACTCATGGAGGATGTCGTGGAAACCATCGTGGATAAGGTGCGGTACTCAACTTTCACGTGCAAATTATCCTTGGTTCGGTACTTTAAACATTCTGAAACCGGTCGTTGAATTAACAGACATTTAAGGAAGCCGATACAAAAGATGACGGACGGATTGATCAGGAAGAGTGGAAGGACTTTGTGTTGAAGAATCCTTCTCTGATGAGAAATATGACTCTTCCATATCTAAAGTAAGTAAACCGGAACGAGATGAACCTATAGGTCACATCAATGCGACGAACAGCCTCTCTACTTCATACTTTAAAACCGCTGTAAAGAGAAAGATAACACAAAAACTGTCCGCCATACATCAGTCTCTGGTCATGTTGGTTCGTCAATCTTGTGTTGGGCACCGCATTGTGAACGCGATTAATCTGCACGAGTTTTATGCTACAACTCTTTCTCTTTTTGCACCTTTTGCAGGGACATAACATTGGCATTTCCCAGTTTCATAGTGAGTTCTGAGTATGAAGATTCAGAAGTATGACTCTCTGTTCCATCACGAAGGCGTCGACGACATGTCAAATCAATGTCATATAGAACTAGATGATGCTCTGAGAATCTGCCAAGTATGAGCTATCGTCGCGAGGTAAAATCTGAAGGAGAATAAGATGCACCAATGTATAAGGGATATGTTATGGATCATGGAGCATTCAAAGCCTCATCTGTCTCTCATTTTTTTGAGTTCAGAAAGATTTGAGTGGATACATGGAAGAGAGGTATATTTGCAATGTATATAGTTAACTTTCTCATGGACTTCAAGGTTTAAGAAGATCAGGTGTGTATGTCTAATTAATCATCGGATCATGTTCCTGTGCCTCGTGAGACTTGATAACATTGAACATTTTCATACAGTCCAGGAACTAAATTTACTTTTACCAAAAGTCCGGGGACTATATTGAACAAATAAAAAGTTCATGGATGACATTATAGATTGAGTTAAAGTTCAAGGACAACATTGAACAACTTTAAAGTTCATGAATCATATTATATATTTGGCCAAAATTCAAAGACTATTTGTGTCATTATCGAAAGTCCCGACGAATCTCGAATCATTCGATGAAGCTGTACTTCCTGGGTTAGTAATGGAGCCTTGGAGGTGTGGGCCTCTTTACTTTTGTTGGTTGCAAAAGCATTACGGGCCTCTTTACTTTAGTTTCTTCGGTAGATATAGGTGTACTATTTCCTTAAAACCGCATGATTATTGGCTACTGATGGCTTCATCTTTTTTTTCCTTAACTCATGTTCAAGACCCTTCAATTACCTTGTTCTATAAAAAATGTGATAATTCATGTTCCGAGACACAATGAGCGATCACCGAAATCGTATATCTTCATGGTTTTAGAATGGTATCAAAATAAGATATAAGTGTGACGATTTGAACTCGGGTCTTGAGCGAATCTCAAGAACATTTTAGCAAAATCCTGTGTCTAGTTTTGAAAATACATGTCTGATAGTAGTAGTGTGCATGAAAATGGGGAGTGTTGCCAACTTAGTACACTAAGTTAGTCAGCTAATTTCGAATCAACTCGTTGATTACCCAATTTAATGCTAATTGTATACATATAGTCAGCAGACAGACCTGTGGCGCTGTTGGTAAAAGGATTGGGGATGGAGTAGCAGAGTACTAAATCTGGAGTTCGATCCTCGTAAATACCGCGTGCACATGTACATTGAAAAGAGGAGGGAGACAAAAAAAAAAAACTACACATGATGATGCTAATTCCCTATATGCATTAATCTATTAATATTCGGTTCAGGTCTTATTCGGTTGGGGAAGAAAAGGAATTTGGGTAGTTTGACGATTCGGTTCGGGCCGGCCATGCTCCAAACCTGTTGTGGCCACGCTACGCGGAAGGGAACTTGCTAAGTAGCTAGAAGAGGGAACTCGCCGGAGGGAACTCGAAGGGCGGAAGGGAACTCCAGGGAGAGAGAAAAAGGGGATGCCTGAAGAAGGAGGGAGCCCCGAAGCCAAAAAACAAGAACAGAAGGACACGGTGAGAGGAGAGAGAGAAAGGGCATACGTCCCAAAAGAAAAAAAAAGAATCAGGAAACCGAACCGAATCGAACCGTGTTTTCGGTTCGGGTCAAATACGGTTCGGTTCGAGTTTCGGGTCGGGGCGAACAAATGCCCAGAAATTTCGATTCATGTATCACAGAAAACCGAATCGAATCGTTGACATCGCAACCGGTCTATTAAGACAAGAGCAATGTTTGTCTTTTGTCCTTGGAGTCTTTCTACAAGCAAGGTTTGGTGTGGACAACGTGGACGCAAAAAAACGAGAGAATGACATCCTCATCGTGATATTGTCCATCGCATCGCATGGCAATCGAACGCTGCGCAAAAGTCAAGTGCGAACATCGAATGGCCGGTCCGAACGAGACATGCTGCGTTGTACCAATAGAAAGTTATTTACACGTACGTAACTTTTGGCATCTTCTTATCTTCAAGTGGTCCATCCATTCCAATAAGCTCTCTCTGATTTTGACAATTTGGATATGTTGTTCTGCCTCTCTCTTTCTCTCAAGCAACGTGATACATATATTTTTTTCCTTTTTGGTGCTGTTTTTGTTTTTCAATTATGGATTTTATGGATCAATTAGCAAATGGGTTTTCTGCTTGTAATGTTCTTTCATAAATTATCGACTTTTCCAGATAGATTCTAACATGCTAATATCCATAGCTGAAGGTGGGGTTGGTTCATGGACAGCTGAACCAAATGGTCCATGCATACTAATCCCAATTTGGATGGGCTTGGATGGACTTGTTGCTTCCGCTTATTTCGCGGAAAATGAATGATTTGGAAAAGTATTTTCTTAAAATTAATCGTTTTTATCTCTTACGAAATAAATGAATGGAAAATACTTTTGCCATTCATGAAGATGTTTGGACATAAATTATAATGCGTCTACCACGGAACTCAAATTAGGTAACAAAACATAAAGAGTAAAAGTCTAGTAAGGCTCTATTCATTTCGCGGAAAACGAACGATTTGGAAAACATTTTTCTAATAATAATTGCTTGTATCGCTTGGAATAATTAGCTAACGAAAAATGTTTTCGTTATCGACAGTAATTAATGTCTAAATATTTCTGTGGACATGCAAAGACTTCTCGTTCATTCATTTTTATAAGCGACATAGGCGATCATTTTTTTAAAAATGATTTTTCCAGATCGTTTTACTTATCGCGAAAAAACAAATGCGCACCCCCAAGCCGTGTCTTAAACTGAGGTCATCCACGGCGGATGGTCTCGTCAAATTAAATAATTAACATTCACGAGTATTCACTAGCCCGGTATTGATCAATCTATACCATGATCACATACTACCTTGTCCAAATTAACCCATAACGCAACGTTCTATCTTCTTGTCGAAATAACCGTCGTATACAGTACACGTCATCGCTTAGGTTCGCTTTCGTCAGTATATATAATCAAATCCCAAATACCATCGTCGCTCCCCGATCAACGATCCCCCCCCCCGGACCCCCCCTCCCCCCGGGCGACGCGTGTCCGGTTCCGGACCGCACGATCGACGAGCGATCGGGATCGTACGGTCGCGTTAGATCCGGGCCACGTGCGCTCCCTCCCGCCCCGCCCGCACGCGGCACCCGCGCGCGTGGCGAACAAACTCGAATCGACTAATTTCCGCCATTCTTATCCCCGAGATTAATCGTTTCCGAAGCTCTGCTAATTTTTTTGTCCCCCAGATCTCTCTCCCCGCGCGCGACGAGGACCGACGGACCGCCGGCGCTCTCGGAATCTCGATCGGTCCTTCTCCGATTCCGATTCGCGGCGGCTGCGCCTTTTCGATCGGGAAAAGGGCCCTTGGCGATCGCCTCCCGATCGATGCTTTTTGATGGCCGATCGCATCCGCTCGCTTTACAGGTTCGCTTTCGATCCCGTCGTGTTCCTCGTCGAATCCGATGCGGTCCGCCTCGGATTCGTCGCCGTCTCTTCGTGTTTTTTTTTTTTTTTTGGGGCTTCCTAAGTTTCGCGGATGGAGTGCGAGGGGTTGGCCGGATGCGGCTTGATGGAGTGCGATCGGATTGAGAGGGTTCGAGCGGGAGCTGAGGCTTTTTGGTGTGTTTCTCGTTAGCGGGCGATCGTGGGGGGGTTACGGTTTGAATTTAACGCGATTGCGGATGATGACGGGATTGATTTTTTTCATTTGTTTGGTTAGCTCCTGTGACTGGCAAGTGAAGAGAGACAGAGAGAGATAGGAGTTGCCCCAAATGAGCGTGCTGCTTTTTTTTGGCTTTTTGGCTGGGAAAAAGGAAGCGAATCGAAAGCCTGTAAAGCTCGTGAAATGTTAAAAAAGTTACTAGTTGGCTTCTCTGGAAAAAAGGGAGGAAAAATGAAAATTTATGGAAAGTTTCGATTTTTGGCAGTTTTCCTGTTGTGGCTTGAATGAAAAGGAAATGAGCCTTCACAGGTGTGAGGAGATGAGCAAAAGTAGTCTCGCTTTTGTTTTCCCTAAACGAATGGACCACCTTCCTTAGGAGTAAGGATGGACTTTCGAGACCATTTCCTATTCTCAAGTCTAAGCTGACTAGGAAGGAATTGTCGGTGGACTTGGAAATGCTTGTACGGGCCAATCTGAATGGGGTTCTGCTTGTAGTATATGGGACTGTAGAATCCGGTTTTTCTTGTTTTCCCATAGTGTACTCATGGTCCCGGCAAAACCGTTGAACTCGCGTGGTTGCAAGAATGTTGATGATCATCATGATGTTTGATTGGGCTTATTCAGACAAAAATAATCCGGGCTGTTTTTCAACAGCTTAAGTTGTAGAAACAAACGGTTGCACACTCAACTTTAACACGAAATTATATATTCTAGTGTTATTTATATGCTAGTCAACATTTAGTTGAAGTGATTGGCGCCCTAGTTTTAACATGCTTGTTCGTGCTCTTTTGTCATTTGACCAGAAAGATCTAGTTCTCTTGTAATGCAATCGGCTAATGAGACAAGGGAGAAGAAGTTGAAGAGATTCGGGTCATTCTGCAATATGCCTCTAACTGACAGCACAGCTGCACAAGCAATTGACGACTGTCTTCTTTTCCCGGTCGAGGAAATAGTACAATATCCCTTGCCTGGATATGGTGTACCAACGTCAATCACTTTCAGCCCTGATGATACTCTCGTCGCTTATTTGTTCAGTCCTGATCAGACTTTAAATAGGAAGGTTTTTGCATTTGATCTCAAGAGTAGCAAGCAAGATTTATTTTTCAGTCCCTCAGATGGTGGGCTTGATGAGAATAACATTTCTCCAGAAGAAAAGTTGAGAAGGGAGAGATTGAGGGAGCGTGGTCTGGGAGTAACACGATACGAATGGATTAAGACAAACTCAAAGAAGAAGGCGCTTATGGTGCCTTTGCCAGCCGGGGTATGTACTCTGCTCTTTGGTATATCCAACCGTGATTCTACTGGTCATTGAATGAGAATCTTTATTTAAATTTTTATCTATGATCGAGGCATCCTTAATTATCTTCCTGTGTCGGTAAGAGATACCATCGGCGTGCATTCTTTTCAATTACATAGTGGTAGGAATAATGATTAGACTTTGCAATATAAGCTCAAGCGGATCAGTTCCTTGATGTTAGTTCCTCGATGTTATTTTCTTTTCTTTTCTATTCTTTCAAGCTAATGCATGCTGCAGAATGGTCAAAGTTCTGACGGTCTTTAATCCAGCCGTTTGGGATAAAATAAGTCTTAAGCTTGGTGTCACTATCTGGTCGCTCATTCATGCTACAATGCCATTTCTTTAACATCTATTTTGCATGTATTTGCTGGCCTACCACCTATATAGATTGACAATCCAATTTCTAATCTTTGCCTTATGGTTTCTTCATTTCTTTTCCCTTTTGTTTTATGGGTGAAGATAGGGGCTTGATAGTTGAAGTAAATGTCATTTGGTAATCTCTCCATGGACGATGATCCCGAAATATCTTGATGCTTTTCGATCGGAACACTTTAAATCATATTGACCCTGGTTGCCTGCATCTTTCTCTTTAAACTATCTGTCAATTAAGATTGTAAAGAAGCAGCTTCAACTGATGTGTTTTCCTTCGGGTTACAGGTTTATATTCAGGATCTCTCTAGCTCAAAACCAGAGCTTAAGCTTCCAAGCGCATCATCCTCACCGATTATTGATCCACACATCTCTCCAGATGGTACCATGATTTCTTTTGTTAGAGATAGAGAATTGCACATTCTAAACCTCCTACACAACGAACAATGTCAGCTAACTGATGGTGCCATTGATAATGCTATGGTGAGCTTAAATGTGGATACTATGTCTTTTCTCTGTCTATGCGTTCTACATGGTGATTTGGGCTTATTTCCCCTTCCAATAATTGTTGCCCAACTTGGTTCCACTTATTTCACCTGTAATCAACTGAAATTCTAATTTGACAGCTTGAGCAAACGTTTGAAAATCCAGAATCTTAATTTCTAAAGCTGTTCCTTCGGTTCCTCTTTATATCCAACTTCACATGAGCCCGAACTTGTTAAAATGTTGTATGTTGCTGTCCTTGTGATATAGGAGTTTAGTTCTTAGCTTGCTTATTATTTCACTTGCAATGGATGGAACAAGTACATATTTAAGAGGTTTGTTCCTGTTAATGTCTGCTTGTTATTTGACTTTTCTATTTTTCTCAAGAATTTTCTGGATGTTGACTATATACTTATGTTTTGCAGACTCATGGGCTCGCTGAGTACATAGCTCAGGTAATTTTCTCCCTTCACTCTCTTTTGAGCATATCTTGATTTGCATTCGTGCCGCATTATTGAAGAACTTCTGGGTCTTCAGGATATACTGGAAAGTTATGTTTATGCGGTAAAAGCGATAAAACACTACTGAAATGTCATATCACTTGATCACGTGTCTATTATATTTTGGTTTTTCTCTAATATAATATTGTTTCTGCTTGCAGGAAGAGATGGATCGTAAAAATGGGTACTGGTGGTCACTGGACAGCAGGTTCATTGCATTCACAGAAGTTGACACTTCTAACGTACCTTTCTTCAGGATAATGCATCAAGGTAAAAGCTCAGTGGGTCCAGAGGCACAAGAAGATCATGCTTACCCCTTCGCAGGAGCTGTAAATGTTAAAGTTCGTCTTGGGGTAGTTTCCTCTAGTGGAGGTCCTGTTACTTGGATGGATCTTCAATGTGGAGGAACAAATGAGTTAGACAATGAGGAGGAATATTTGGCCCGAGTCAACTGGATGCATGGAAATATTCTGACTGCTCAGGTCTTAAACAGGTCACATAGCAAATTGAAGATGCTTAAGTTTGATATTAAGACGGGCCAAGGAAAAGTTGTACTGGTGGAAGAACAGAGTACATGGATTAACTTGCATGACTGCTTCACTCCTCTAGACAAAGGAATAGCCAAATTTTCTGGGGGATTTATATGGGCGAGTGAAAGAACGGGATTTAGACATCTTTATTTGCACGACTCGAATGGGACTTGCCTAGGACCTATCACGGAAGGTGACTGGATGGTTGAGCAACTTGCAGGTGTAAATGAAGCTGCAGGACTTGTATACTTTACAGGAACTCTAGATGGACCCCTGGAACAGCACTTATATTCAACTAAACTTTTCCCAGACAAGAATAGTCCTGTGCCAGCTCCAAAGAGATTAACCAATGGAAAAGGAAAACATGTGGTTGTGCTTGATCATCACCTGCGGAATTTTGTTGATATTCACGATTCTCTCACTTCTCCCCCTAGGGTGTCACTGTGCTCCTTGCATGATGGCAACAGAATGTTGCCAGTGTATGAGCCTCCATTGACCATACCAAGGTTGAAAAAGCTGCAGCTTGAGCCTCCAGAGATCATGCAAATACAGGGAAATGATGGGACTGTGCTATATGGAGCTCTGTACAAACCTGATGTAGCAAAATTTGGACCCCCACCTTACAAGACCATGATAGCTGTGTATGGAGGCCCATGCGTACAATTTGTCTGTGATTCATGGGCAAATGCAGTTGACATGAAGGCACAGTATTTGAGAAGCAAAGGCATCTTAGTTTGGAAGGTCAGTACCATCTCTTTAGTCACCTCAGACATCGTCTCTTACTTGTGAACATAGGCTGTTTGTAGAAGTAAGGCAAATCCCTCAATATGTCATGATCTTGCCAGTTATTTTGTGGTGCATCTTACTTCATTTATGTTGCATGGTGCGTTTACCGTAAAGGTTGCATGATGGTTTAAGCAAATCTTACTTATCAATTTCATCAACATGAGATGGGCCTAGTGGAAGTCACTGCTTCTGAATCATAAGACATAGTAAAACTGACAATGGTTGATATGGTTTAGGATAGCCTAGAAAGAAAGCTTCATGCAGCACAGAATATCGAAAATGCATACTACTCCCTTAATACAGGACTAGCCTGTCCCCTCTCTCTCTCTCTAGGTGAATGACTGGTGACTCACAACCAATGTTTGATTGCCTGGTGCAACAGTTAGATAACCGAGGCACCGCTAGGCGTGGTCTGAAGTTCGAAGGTGCTCTTAAACAGAACTTTGGCCACATTGACGTCGAGGATCAGGTGTCCGGAGCCGAATGGCTTGTCAAAGAAGGGCTAGCTCAAGCCGGTCGGATCGGAATATATGGTTGGAGTTATGGTGGGTATCTATCTGCCATGGCATTGGCCAGATGTCCCGACGTCTTCTGCTGCGCCGTGTCCGGTGCCCCGGTGACATCCTGGGACGGATACGACACGTTCTACACCGAGAAGTACATGGGGCTTCCTTCCGCTAATCAGGAAAGCTACAAATCCAGCTCGGTCATGCATCACGTGGACAACATGACAGGGAGGCTACTGTTGGTCCACGGCATGATCGACGAGAACGTGCATTTCAGGCACACGGCCCGGCTGGTGAACGCGCTCGTCGAGGCGGGGAAGCGGTACGAGCTATTGATCTTCCCGGACGAGCGGCACATGCCGCGGCGGCGGAGGGACCGGATCTACATGGAGGAGAGAATCTGGGAGTTCATTGAGAGGAGCCTGTGAAGTATCATTTTTCTTTTTCCCCCTTTAAATTCTTGTTCATCTTCTTTTCTTCGTTGCTCACTGAAGGCGAATGGTAGCAGAGTTTCTCTTCCCCCCCCCGCTCAACTCAAATTTTCTACAAATACGAATCTCTCTTCTAGTTGTTCACGCCCGTCTTGCAGACTTTCTATTTTGAGCTGGAAATTGCCGAAGCCACGGGCTTCGCCCAATCGGGTCCTGCCACGTGGACGGCGTTACGCGCATGATTGTTGACTTCCCGGGCGGCGAGGGGGCTCCCGTGCGTGACGTGGCAGCGCGCTTCCTACAACTCAAAAATCGACGACCCCACGTCACCCCACCCCACCTTGGTCTCCAAGTTAGAATCTTCACGGACGCTTCGCTTCCGTAACAGACGCCGTTAGTTCTCCCAAAGCTAATGCATTGAACAGCGTAATAACTCTCCGAGATTACGTCCTTACCCTTCGCTTCCCTCGCCTGAGACTTCCTTCTGGAGACATGTATATTAATAAAATATTTGGCTGATCGCTCGTGTTCTATTGGGTGCAATTATGAAATGCGAGTGCCTACTGCCTAGTGATAGAAAGATCTGGCACCTTTGATATACCTACCGAGGAAGATATTTAAGCAGACGACCTTTGATTGGATCCATGAAAAGGTTGCCATTGCCAGCAAGACGAGAAACGGGGAGGCCATCTTTACATCCCTTTCTTCTGATGGTCTTTTAGGGACTGGAGGTGAATTACCTCGAGATTTTCCTAATGATTTACAGATGAGGAAATGGTGTCGGGTGTTATGGTTGTGAGTTTTCATATTTAATATCAAATTTCATCATGTGTAATAATTACTGCCAGTGAGTTTTTACGAGTGATCTAATCATGTCAAGGGTTTTATGAGTATGAAAATACGAGTGCATCATCTAGATAGATAAACTCTTGATAATTGTCATATGACAAACGAAGAGTACTCTAGAGTCCCAATTTTGAAAAAAGAAAACTCATTACTATTTACTAAGAATCTCTAAAGTTGACCAGGGTCAACCTTCATTTACGAATGATTATTAGGTAAAGAGCAACTTAATTTTTCATATTTCATGTACGTCGGCATATGTTCCGTGTTAGTTAGTGTCGGAAATTGGCATGGCTAGAGCATATCTAGTTCGCCAAAACTAGAAATGAGAGTAGATATTTTATGCTATTTTCATAATATATTATTTGCTTCCATCCCATCGAAGGGCAATCTCGTCTTTTTACGCCGCGACACACCCTCCCCCCGGGGAAAATCCTCCCGTCATCTTTTATTCTTTACCCCAAGCCCCAAGGAAAGAAGGCGAGAGGACGGCGTCGTCACGGGAAATCTCACGCCGTTTAAGCCCCCCCACCGATACTTCCGTACAAAGTCACCTTCTCCGTTACTCACGAGCCACTATAAATCAACAGAAGACCCCACTGACGCTTCCTTTCATTTTCGCAGCGTCGTCGTTGGTCTCCTCTCCACCCTCTCTCTCTCTCTCTTCTTCTTCTTCTTCTTCTTCTTCACTGTTGAATTCTCTGGAGCAAGCGAGAAGCCCAAGCCGCAGCAGCGGAGCTTTGCGGATTTCGCAGGCATCGAATCGCATCGCTTCGGTGATCGGGGACACGATGAAGCGCAGCAGTGACTCCGATTGCCGTGCACTTGATCGCCGCCTCGCCTGATCTTCAGGTACATGACACCGACCCGCGCAGCTTCAGCTTTTAGGTTTTTTCCCGCTTTTACTTTCTTGGTCTACTTGTCGTGTCCGTCGGTATCGCGTCGGCTGGAGGTGGGGAGCGGTCAGGTCGGTTGCGATTTGCCGGGTGCGGAAGAGACGAGATGTGGTCTGTAGAGGACGAGGTGATCGGATGAAATTGCTTTTTTTTGGTATCTCCTGTGTTGTGGGCTGGCAATGTCGTTCATGCTGGCTTTAAGCGATTTTCTACGTTCGCGAGAAGCGCGGGAGATGATGATCCGGGGAGTGTTTCGAGGCTCTACGATGCTCCAGATTGAGCCTAGGTTGTCCATTATTTGATTGACTAGGCTAAGCTTTATGTATTAGCGGGGGCAATTGCTAATGAGTACATCAGTATCTCTTCGTTTCTTTGGGCGTTTTGCTTTTTGATCGCTGGTAAGATTTCGTGGTCGAGCTTGATCGGTAGCTGATTCCAATTTGTTTGTACTTTTTTTTTTTCTTTCTCTTGCTTTTGAGGTTGGCTGCAGTTTCCAGACGATTCCGGCTCTCTCGAAATCCTTGCGCTTTCTTTTGGAAATTTCCATGGCGCAGAAGAAACCCTAACGCCCGATGCATACGAAGGATCCAGTGAGCTGGAGATTGGGTTATGGCTCGAGTTTGGTCTCGGAGGTTATTGAGCATGGAATATTAGGTTTGAGAACCTGTTTGAGTGGGGAAACCGAGTTTCCTAGTTTATCAGCTTTGAGGTGGCATTGCACGAAGTTGAAGTTTGGGACTCTCTGGTCAAATGGGTTGTCCAGAGAGCATGATGAAGGTTTTGACTGGTTAAAAGTTTGATTATTCTGGTAAGGGGCTGTGCAGATAACAGGAGAGAAAGATGTCGGTTGCTAGCGTGGCACTTAGCCCGGTTCTGGAAGAGTGTTTGAATTTCCCTGGGAAGTTCTCCCACCAGTATGGTCCTCATTTGAACAATTCGATCCTGATTTACCTCAGTGTTGGTGGGTCTGTGATTCCCATGCGCATTATGGAGTCAGATTCAATTGCGTCTGTGAAGCTGAAGATACAGACATGGTTCTTTGTCAGAAAGCAGAAACTGGTCTTTGATGGGAGAGAACTAGCTCGGAACAATTTGCGTGTTGGAGACTATGGGGTTGCTGATGGAAATGTGTTGCACCTTGTGCTGTGGCTTTCAGATCTTCAAGCTATCACTGTCCGAACTGCTTGTGGGAAGGAATTTGAGTTCCATGTCGAGAGGAGCAGAAACGTAGGGTATGTGAAGCAGCAGATTGTGAAGAAGGGGCAAGGCTTTGTCAATCTGGAGGATCAAGAGCTGGTATGTGATGGTGAAGAGCTTGAAGATCAGAGACTCGTCCATGACATTCGTAGGAAGAACGGTGACGCTGTTATCCATTTGCTGGTCTGCAAATCTGCTAAAGTGAGGGTGAAACCCGTCGACAAGCACTTTGAAGTGCTTATTGATGCATCAGATTTGAATGAGCATGCTAGTGCAGTTGGTGAATATCAGTCTGGGGACCTGTCGAAACCCAATATCATGGAGAGTAGACCACTGCCAAAAGATTTCCTATTGGAACCTTTCATCGTTACTCGAGATATTGAACTTCCATTTGTGTTAAAAGAGCTGATTGAATCTACTTTTCAAGGATTGGATAGAGGCAATGAGCCAATACGGTCTTCAGAGGGATCGGGAGGAGCTTACCTCATGCAAGACTTTTCTGGCCTGGAGTATGTGTCAGTTTTCAAGCCTATTGATGAGGAACCAATGGCGGTGAATAACCCTCGGGGGCTTCCCTTGTCACTAGATGGTCAAGGGATGAAAAAGGGCACGCGTGTGGGAGAGGGAGCACTGAGAGAAGTTGCAGCTTACATCTTGGACCACCCAGCGGTGCACAATTCTGAGAAGGGCTTTGCTGGGGTTCCGCCCACTGTTATGGTGAAGTGTATGCATAGAGAGTTCAATTATCCTGAAGGTTATGAGTACACAAACAAGAATTGTAAGATAGGATCGCTGCAGATGTTCATAAAGAATATAGGAAGTTGTGAGGATATGGGACCCCGAGCTTTTCCTGTGGATGAGGTACACAAGATTTCTGTCTTGGACATAAGGTTGGCAAATGCGGATAGGCATGCAGGCAACATATTGATCAGCAGGGACGGTGAAGATGGACGTATAGAGCTTATTCCTATTGATCATGGATACTGTCTGCCTGAAAACGTGAGTATATCATATTTTCTTCGCTGATTGATTGTATGGTTGTTCTCTGCTAAAAATATTAATAGATGATGTGTTCTTCTTTCAGTTACTACTTGTCCTAATTGGCATGAGATCCGAGATATTAGTCTTAATAGCCCCATGTTTTCCTTAATGAGTATTGGATGCCTCAGAAATTCCCTTCTGTGGTATTCTGAAGGTGTAACCTAGGCAACGAAAAATGGGCCCTCTGTTGCGATCGTTTGTTGTTTTTTAGGATGTGTTGCACTTGTTGATTTGCAACAGGGTTATATACCAATAGATGATTTGTTATTCTTTGAGTTATGATTCGTCCTAATTGGCATGAGATCCAAGATTATAGTCTTAATAACCCTGCGTTTTCCTTAATGAGTATTTAATGCCTCAGAACTTGTCAAAGATGGAATCTCCATCACCTCTGGTTACGTACGTATGTGCATATCTGTAAAATTATTTGTCGTTTTTAGGATGTGTTGCACTTACTGATTTGCATCAGGGTTATACCAACAGTTGCGTTGATGACTGTTTGTAACTCGAAACTTATACAATAAATTTTTTGCATGGTTAGGCTAGACAAAATGATGGCTGTGTGATGCTTTTTATTGCACAAGCAGCATTCATCCAGCTTTGGCTGCATGAACCGCTTTTTATTTGACACGTAGGTACTTCAGATCGACACATCACTGGATAAAATGTGCAGATGACATTTGCTTCGGAGTCTATGCTTCATGCTTGTCACTGCTCAGTTATTTTGGTGGTAAACACAGAAAAGAGAGCATGACCAGGATTTTTAAGTTTATGGAAGATGTATTGGATTTCTGTTGATCTATGAGTAGCAAACTCAATAGTTTAGTTTCTTGCATCAGTTCAGAAGCATAATGACTCCGTCCAAGCTCCAAAACCTCTCGAGCTTCTTTGTAGTCTTTCCTTTTCGTCGTCTTCTCGTCTTTTATTATCTTTGTTCTTGTCGCTGCAGTTTGAAGATTGCACATTTGAGTGGCTCTACTGGCCACAAGCTCAGCGGCCTTACTCTCCAGAAACTATGGACTACATCAAGTCACTGGATGCCGAACAAGACATTCAACTCTTGAAGTTTCACGGTTGGGACTTGCCAATTGAGTGTGCTCGCACCTTGCGCATCTCTACTATGCTTTTGAAGAAAGGTGTGGAGAGAGGCCTTACTCCTTTCTCCATTGGAAGCATGATGTGTCGGGAAACTCTTAACAAGGAGTCTCTGATTGAGCGGATTGTCAAAGAAGCAGAGGAAAGTGTGCTTCCTGGAGCTAGTGAAGGTTCATTTCTTGAATCTGTCTCAGTGCTTATGGATCACTACCTCGATAAACTTTCAAATGGAGGCCATTGAGTGAACTTGTATGTTATGTAGTGTGTACTAGTGTGTGCATGCTTGCATGAATGTACAGAAGTCCCTCTCCTGGACAGACCTGCTCTTGTGAAATCTTTGCTAATGCTTGGACTATATGCTTGTTCACTCGCATCATTCTCTGGTGCATCAATCTTTTTGGCGTCCAAGACAGCCCGAAGCTGCCACTTTGGCCGGCCAGGATGGAAAGCTATGTGCTCTTTTGGGTTTTACAAGGAACAATGATTTGAGCATTGGCGATATGAAATCGACCTTCATGCTATTCGCAAACATTTTGTAAGCAGTCACTGCCAGTCATATTGCAACGGTACATATCACTTGTAAGGATAGCGGTATTGAATAATGTGAGCTGTTGTTTAAATTGCTAGGCTTCTGGATATGCTCGTGTTTTGACTTTCGAGTGGGCCACATGCGTTATCTTTAGGCGAGCAAAGGGGATCAATGTTCAGCATAGCCTTGCTATGTGTTACTTGGTGCTTAAGTTATACGCTTGAAAATGTTTTTACACAAGTAGCGAGAGCGACTACTACGGCAATAATGGGGTCGGCTTTAAGCACTTTCTTTGGGCCATATGCTAGGAAGACGAAGGGGATCATCAAGTTAAGAGTAAGAGTGAGGTCTAGGCATTTATTTTTTTTCCAGAAACCTCGGTCCTTCTGAGCCTCTCCATATGAAATTTTTATCTTGACAAATTCAAAGGTTGCCATTGGAATCTGAGCATGAGTCGGTTTTCATTCAATTCATTTCCATATAATGTTAGCTGCCGAAAAAGGTATAATGGAACGTGATCAGATGATGCACACCGTCTTAAACCAGTTCTTCCTAGGTTTTGTCCAGGACTTTGGAGAAGGAATTGATTGCGTTGACCAACTTCTTTAACCTCAGAATGTGTTTGCTACAACTGATTAATGGCTACACAAGGGATTCTGATCAACATAAAAAAAGGTAATAATGAGGAATAATGCCATTACGAAATTGTGGCTTTTCTACACTTGCTTATTTTTGGCCTTTTGTGAATAAAAAATATAAGGAAAACGACCTAAATTTTAAGCTCAGTAAATACATGAACACCTATGCATGTGGGTTCTTAGCACAACATATGGTACCTGTAAAATGCCAATTTCAGGTTGATAGTCCGGCCACGAATGCCACCCCGGTGGACGGCAACCATGAAGATCCTGATATGAACTGCCCGACCGTGAATTTGCTCGCCTCTGTCGCGGACGTGATGACCCGGTAACCCGGCCATTTCACGCGTCCCCCGACGCCTGCCCCGGGCCCATCATTCATGTACTCTCCGTAGTACAATGTGTCGAGCGCAAAGTCTCCGTTCCACTCCAGCCACCCTTGGGGGTGAATGTGGTCGCCCATGGAAGACAACATGTACACGACCCTCGAGTACATCTTCCATGGCCGGCCGAGGTACGTCGGGAAGCTTGCTTTAGATGCCTCGAGATCTGAAGTGGCGACGATCTGGGAAGCATGGATCGAGATGCCGGTGTTCTGGTTGGGGTCCTTGCGGTTTTGGGCCGTGATGGTGTTCTTTTGCTTGGCCATGGGCTTCCGGGCGTAGATGTTGCACTTCTGGATGACCACGGCCGCGTTGCCGAAGATGAAGTCGACCGTCCCGTAGATGTCGCATTCGCGGAAGAACTGGCGATTCGAGTGGACGTAGAGCGTGTCCTGGTAGCCAACGATGCTGCACCTATAGACTACGCCGTGGTCCGCTCCTACCCGGAGAGCCACCGCCTGGTGCTTGGCCGGCCCGGCGTAGTTTTCGAAGGTCATGTCACGGGCAATGAAACCGGCTCCGCTCGCCGCTGCAGGGAGCAGAGCAGAAGAGAAGAATCAAAACTCGACGGAAAACTAAAGAATCACACGTCGACTCTCGACCAAACATCTCGCGGATAACTCACGCCAATCTTTTTCATCCCACGTGACAAAGCCGACGATGGATAAGTCAAAACGAAGATCATCTCATGAAGTTTGCGCTTCGGAATTGGTATAACGGGATTTAGCATCCAAACATTGTGTAAATTAGCATCGTTCCAAAGATGGGAAAATGTCGAAGGGTCGGAATTGTAACGAACGGTAGCCAAATGAAGAACATGCGTGCGTATGTAGCCCCCCGCATGACCCACGTCAATAATGCCATTCGATGTTGGGACCGGCAAAACATCCATTGATGAGGCTTTCATCCAGCAATGTCGCTGGCGTTATGAAGAGACGAGAAAGATTGGATCAGGGTATTACAAAACGTGGTTTGGTGCAGCAAAAACAATCTTTAACATGATCATTAAAAGGAGGAATCGGCCGTGTCCGAATTGACGGGATTATCATTAAAGAAAGAAAGGGCGAGATGAAAAGCCCGGGCTAAACAGAGGAAATGCCGTGGTTTCCGATGCACTAAGTATTCTCCTCGTAACATGCGCGATTCGATACTTTGAAGATCGAACAACTCCTGCTTAAGCATATTTAACGAGCTACTCCGAAGCAATCGTTAGTGGCGTCCTAACATCGTGTCGACGAATATGTTCGTGATTAGGACCGCACCCCGCACACGGGTCCACTCGCAGCTATAAGGTGGCACGGAATTAATTGAAGGGGGCGGGATTTGGTGCCATGCCGGCAACAATTGACATAACACATGCAACTTTCTACATGAAGCATTTCCCAACAACCCTTTTCCTTGTTAGTGACATTTCTAAAGCGGCTTTCAATCATAATAATTATTTATTGACCCTAATGTCTTTCGTGATTCTAATGTCAAATTAAGATCTAGGGCTCTTTTTCTTTTTGCTTTTTTTTTATAATTATTATCTTATTGATCACCCGGTGTCATTGATAATTTTTTTTGGCCTAACCTAGTCGAGAGTGGAAATTTACCGAAGGAGGCTGTGTGGAAGGTGGTCATCTTATCGGCGACGCTCTTGCCGCCCGTTATGACCGTCTTGCCCGTCCCGTCGCCGATGAACATGAGGTTCTTCTTCTTCTTCCCCACCTTCAAGTTATCCTCCTCGTACCTGAAGCACGAAGAAGCTAAAAAGCACCCGTCAACTCGATTTTCACTCATTTCAATTGAAATATTATGGAACCGCCACTGAATTATTCTTAATGTTTAAACCAATACACGAATGCGTGATTTAATATTTAACATTCTAATAAAGGCAATTAAAAACTTGAACTTGCATAGCTATAATTAGTTTGTTAATTAGTATATCTCCAAAAGAAACGTATAATTCAATGTTCACCGATTAAAGACAACATTCGTTCGTACTCACAAAAAAAAAAAAATTTCCTCAAAACAATGACGTACTTGTATTGAAGATTGGTAGGCAATTATCTTAATCATATTTATTTTTGTGGAATGATCAAGTCATAATCACTATGTGTAAAGTGACAAGGACTTTCCATTATATAATTGGCCACTTCATAAATTTAACACCCTTTTTCGTCCAAATTATCAAATTGCAATTATCGATTTCGCATGATTAAAGGGCTGAATTTAATCTAATCAATTGAAGTCATCCTCCTCTATAATAAGAACAAAAAGAAGGCAAAAAGACAAAAGGCCATTTTCTTTTCCTTTCTTTTCTTTTTCCCTCTCAATTCAAACTTAATTTGAAATGGTTAAAAAAAAAAAGAAAAAGAAGAGAAGAGGAACTTTACCTCCCGGCTCGCACGTAGATGATGGTCCTCCGGTCACTGTTCTCCGGCGCCTCCTTTATCGCCTCCGCGATCGTCTTGTACGTCCCGCTCGCTCCGTCCTTCGCCACCACTATGTCCGCCTGTATATCCGACGCCGGCATATCCAGCAACTCCCTCTCCCTCTCCCCTAACCACTCCGGATATGCGACATCGCCGTGCCCGTCGTCCCTCGGCGCTCCCGCGTCCATCAGCCTCCTCCGGTTCTCGATCGGCACTCCGGCGAAGTCCCCGCCGCCGTCCGTCGCCGCGAATATTGCCAGGCAGTTGCTCACCAGCTCCTCCAGGTCCTTGAGCTCCTGCATCATCCGATCCTTCACGCCGCCGCTCGCGTTGGCGAGCCCCTCCCCGCACGTGTCCTGGTTTGTCAGCGCCGCGCTCAGCCACGTCACGACGTCCTCCGCCGCCGTCGGCGATCCCGATCCTCCGGCGGCAGAGAGCGACCGGGAGAGCGCGTCCACGGAGCCGTCGAGGAGCTCCATGCAGTCGTCGTAGGCCGACCGCACAACCGGCTCCATGTCGAGGAAATTCATACCGGAGGACCGGTAGAGAGCCTTGCTGAAGTGCTGCAGGGTCATATTGAAGGAGATGTGGACGAGGTCCTGCTCGCTTGCGACCATCGAGCCCGGGAAGTCCAGGAGCGAGTTGACGCAGAGGTCCGGGTACCGGGCCTTGGCGCACGTCCGGGCGATGGCCTGGCTCGGGTGGCGGCCCCGGGAGTCCCCGGAGGCCCTGGTGCGGAGCCCGAACAGGAGGATGGCGGAGATGGCGGAGGCGAGGACGAGGGCGAGGGCGAGGAGCGAGAGGAGGGCGAGCTTCCACTTGCGGGAGCGGAGGCCCCGGGTCGACGGCTCGGCGGGGTCTAGCCGGTCCGGGAGCTGGGCATCGGGGGAGGGTCCGAGCTTGGCGTGCCCCACTTCTTGCATTTTGTGGGGCTGGTGACCGAGGAGAAATGTGTAGGGAATGGTAAGGTAGTACAAGCTAGGATTGACGCAAATGAGGGCGAGAATGTGTGATTTTCAATGATTTTTGGAGACAAAGTTGTGACACTACAACATCAAGATTGAGGCTTGATGATACTATTGTGATGAGAGAGACAGAGAGAGAGAGAGAGCCAGGAATTGGGTGGGAAGTGATTGGAGGGAGGATTGGGAATGTGTGTATGGGTGTGAATATATGTGCTTGGGGAGATGGACATGGAGAGGGAGAGGAAGAGGGGAGGTGGGTGTGAGGTCGATGTCTAGGGAAGGAATGAGCTGGAGGCTACTTTTGAGGAGGCTAGGCAGAAGAAGAAAATGACCACTAAAAACACTTAGGTGAGTTGCATACAAGTGTGAGCTAGAGAGAGAAGAGGGAGAGGTTTGAGTGATTTTTAGTGAAAGAAATGAGGATTGCTGTGGGGGGTAATGTTTACTTTCCAATGTCACTCCCTTTTTATAGGGCATTATCAAGGCCTTTCTGGCTCTCTCCCCCCCTTCCCCTTCCCTTTTCCATCTTGTTAGTCTCTAGTGCCTTAGGTTGCAAGTTTGACAGTACAGTCCCCCCCGCTTTTCTCTCTCTCTCTCGCTCTCTCTCTCTCTCTCTCTCTCTCTCTTTGAAGTCAAGAGTGATTTAGGGGTCAAATTGCTGGCTCGTGATATTATGCCTTTTGAAATATGGCGCAGATTCATCGGGGCCTGTCTTTACGGTCGAATCCGTTCGAGTCTCCTTGACTCCTGATTTCGATACTGATTTGTGCCCGAGACTCTTATCTCTTGGTTCCTGATCATTTAAGACACGTGATGGCTTTCGGATGACCCGGAGAAAGAATCGGCGCTGAACCGGAGCAAGACTCTGCGGGATTCGCTCCTTTGCTTGGATAAATTTACCGAATCGATTCAAGCCATCCTATCGATACCTCCATGTTTAGAAAGATTGTACCCGTACGATTTTCACCGCTCCTTTTTATCTTTTCCAAGAAACGGCACGAGCTCGCGAGTTCTTACCGAAACACGGAAAGGGAGATTGCCCGGTATTAACCTAGGTGGGAGGATGGAGATACATCGATCTCCGGGTCTTCAGGTCAAAAAGTGCCTTACATTATTAAATTCTCCTCTCAAACGAACGGAGACTTTGTCCATGGAGATTGTTGTGGCGAAGCATCAATAATGAAATGCTATAGATGGATGAGACAATCAAGAAATAATACAAATCCCATGCTTCCTCGTGCAAAGAGTTTGCTAATGAATAAGAAGATTCCTCATCTAGTGGTAGGGCTGAGAGGAATGAGGATAAGGACTTGACATTGCGAGGCAGCCAATAAGGGAAGCCTTGTATTCGTCGGGAACCATTAGTGCAATGACCACCCCCATCTAGCAATGCGTGCACCTACCTCCATCCCCTAATTAAGAAAGATCAAAGGGTCTTTTTATCCGATGACTTATTTATCAATCTGTTGGTGACATATCGAGATTTGTAATCATCTTAGATAAAAGGATTATGGTACAGGCAAATATTGATTTGATCTGTCATGTCGTGTCAGCTATTGAGAAACCACACGGATCATAGATTACTGGCGCAAGAAATTTTCGCGTGATTCTTTGGTAGAGGTCTTTTCAACCACCTCGAGGCCATGAGCGTGTTGGTCTTCATACACATGATAGGGTAGTTTGATTGGTAAAAATGAGGTCCTCACCTGTCTCTTTGCTCCCGACTTAACAGAAGCAACATCAATAATTGATCACGCTTCGATAGAATAGACTGAGATCTAAGTGGGGAGCGTTGTCTTGCTTTCGATTCAAGAGCTAAGGGCTCTAAATTCGTGATTCAAATTTAAGTGGGGAGTCATGGTGATGGGTCGTGCCCCTGATTATACAATAAAAAGATTCTAAATCTCTAGAAATGTGAGGCGTCGATTCTTTCTTAGCGCGGTCGACTGAAATAATATCGGGAGAAAGTAGGCCAACGAGAATCCCCTGCTCTTGTGCGGAAGCTTTGCTTCCGGTGGAAACTTAATAATGAAGGTGTACTAGCATATGAAAGCTTAATTTCTCAAAAGAAACCGTTTTACCGTAACTCCAAAAGGAAGAAACAAAGCAATCCGAGGGTACTCCCGTCGCCGTGTCTCGCGGAAAAATGCCCTCTTCTACACTATTGTCATGAGGGAACATTTAAACTAACAAGATCACAATCGGACGGAATTGGATGGCGTGCAATACATGCTGAACAATCCAATGACCCATCTCGTGTCCAATTCAATCACTAATCTTTGCGAAAGACAGGTGACCCTGGATGTTTCTGCACGCAGGCTTCCATGTCTTTGTCGATTGATCTTTGCCTGTTCACTGGTCTCAAACCACATCGAAAATGTTCATGCGGTTCATAGGCTGGAAACTCCCTTTGGGGATTAATCCCTTAACGGGCATGTAAATACAGTAAGATTAGCCGGAGAAATAGATTAACCGACGAGGGACATTTGACAGTTTTTATAGTTATGCTTCATGGGGAAGATGCTACCCATTGCCCTAGCAGCTTTTAGAGCATCTAGTTGGAGCCGCCAAAGTGGATCAGCCCTCCTCACCTCGACAGATGCTATTTACTCTCTTCTTCTTCTTTTAATCTGCATTGGCTTGTCAAAAGGCATTATTGCCCGTTTACCTAATCAATATAGCTTTGCTCCAAGACATGACCATGTGCTTTCTATTGGGACAAAAATAAAAAAGAAATTAGAAACATTGAATTATGTGACCTACCAAAGAAAGAAAAGACAAGAGACCACATGGGGGAGAGACCCCAAATGAAACTGATGGAACGGGATTATAGGTGTCCATTCGTTTCGCGAAAAATGTATTCTAAAAAAATTAGATGAAAAGTATTCCATCGCCTACAAAGATATTTATATATAAACTATTATTGATAATGAAAGCATTTTTCATTGACTAGTTATTTCTAGCGATGGAAGCGATTATGTTTAAAACGAAGTTTTCCAAATGATTCATTTTTCGCGAAATAAACGGAGCCTCGACAGTGGTCAATTCACTCGTATTTTCATTCATTTCAAAATCACCCTTCGTGAAATCATAAAAAGAAAGAAATTAATAGTTGCATTCTATCTACAAGCCAAACGCCACTTGCTCTACTCAAAGAAATAACCACCTTCCCGGCGATTGTGGTGGCGGCCACCGGCGAGGGCTTGTTCCTTTCTTTTTACTTGGTTTTCAGAAAAAAAAAAAAAAGAATTATCATTTTCTAATTTATTTAATTTGATTTAAGTAAAATTTATTTTAAAAAAATACCATGTATGAGGAAAAAAGTAATAAAAAAATGCTATGTTAGCATTTTCTATTTATCAAGTTGAATGGAATTAACGGAATGGCATGATTGCACATTCTGAAAGTTTTAGGACTTTAAGACTTCCGGTAGCCTTATCCCATCATTTTTTATTGTTTATTCTACATTGCACACGTGCGTAACACGTGCTCGACTCTAACCATACGTAAACTCACGTCACGTATAATTTGGTCATTTCGACATTTGGTATTATGTAGAAAGTCAAAAAAAAAAAGTCATATAAAGTGGCCACCCTTTTTCGGTAGGGAAAGAGTAAGAACAACAACATGGCTGCACATCATGGACACCAACCCTTATCGTCTATTTTACAAAGTAGAGACTAGAGACTATGCCTTTCCTTCACCGGCCAAAAAATGAAAAAAGAAGAAGAAGAAAAGGGAATGCCTTTCTTAATCAAAGCTGTCCTATTCTTACCGACTAAAGTTTGAATTCAAACTCAATTATTTCAGTTTCATTCACGACCAACTTCTTACATTCACTACGTTAAGAGACCAAAATTTTTCAGTACATGCTCTTCTTCTTCATCCTAAGAAAGCTCGAAAAGCAGAGTAGTACTACACAGCATCTCAGAAAGCATTGGAGATACAACTGTCGAAACCAAAGCATAAGGAATCACACTTTACAAAATGACTGGATGAACAAACATAGTACTGCCTAGACATCTTTCCAACTTTAGATGTAGATGATAAAGCATGGTCGAAAAGCCATTTTTTCCCCCTTTTTTTCTTCTTTTTTCCCCTTTATTTATTTGGCTTGTTTAGCTTATTGCCTTTAATCTTTAATAGACTTTCGAAAGCTTTACCCGAATTAAAAGAGTGAGGCAAAATTGTCTAAAAAGTCGTAAACTTATCATACGTCGGTCAATTCAATCCTACATTTTTTTTTTTTAATTTTGATCAATTTAAATCTAAACCTTTTGATGGTTTGCCAATATAGTCATTCCGATCGATTTTAATCGGAAATTGCTAACTGGCACGACCGATGCTTACATGAAAAGCTTTTGTAATTTTTTTTAATAGTTTGAATTTTTAAGTTTTTTATTAATAAATTTATGATTTTTTGAATAATTGTTATTTAAAGCGCATTGCCTGTTCATGTATAGCTTTGATGGGCACTTGACATTGAGTTGGTTGCAGTGTCACGTCTCTACCACGCACAACCATAAAATCCCATATTCTTACACACTAGGGAAAGCTCACAACGAAGCTCGCACTTTTTCTCTGTAACGATGAGACAGGTTGATCTCTTCGCAGTGACCTCGAAATCGACACGCGTACGTCTTGCTAACGAACATTCAAAAGCATTTTTTTTTTGTCGCCAAAAATCACAAACTTGTAACGAGATGTCACCCAAAAAAAAAAGGTTAAAATTTCTCTACTGCGATATCAATAGCCCAGTTTTTCTTCTCGTGTCGAACTTGTCTCGATGTGATATAAATTTAGGATCGTTTGCCACATTGATATAAGTTTAGGGGCTCTGGTGTCTAAAAAAGAACTTCAGACTTCTGAGTACCAATGTTACGGCGGATATAGTTTAGAACTTTTCGTGGTACTAATCAAAATACTTTTGGGCTTCGAATCAAAATTCTTTTTTTTTTTTGGTCGAATTTTCGTATCGAACTTGCAAGGCTGAAAATTGTTCCCAATTTTTGCTGCCTCTCTAAGAAAAACTCAATTTCTGTGGGAATGCTAATACGATTTTCTAAGCAATAATACATGCTGCCACGTCATTTTTTTGGTCAGCATTAAATGAAAAAGTGTCAACCATATAGTCAGTGATTGGACCCCCCCGGCCTATCATTTACTTTTATGGGTTAAGAATGGTCTCGGGTATTATTAAAATATCGACACTCGACGGTCACAGAGTATATCGAATTTTCTTACTTTGAATAGAAAAGAAAAGAAACAAAAAGTTTCCAAAGGAAAATAAACTTAAAAATTAGGCCAGAAAAGCACCCTTCCTTTTGTGGAGAGCTGCTCCTTTAGATTCTGATCGTAAACTCTGCAACATCCCCCAAAAATTGATTTTAATACCATAACTCGTGAATTTATTTAAAAAGACCGTGACGAAAGGTCAAAACTTTTTATTAATAATCTAAATTTTTCGATACTTTCTGGAATGACACCTTTTTTTTCTTTTTTTAGAATAGATCATATTGTGATGGATGGTCCACTTGTTATCTTTATACCGTAACTCAATCGTGAGATTCGGGGTGTCACGACAATTCTTGTTATTGTTGTCATCATTCTCTGTGCACAAATTCCAAGCATCGTACATACAATCAGGGAGAAGTACAAGATCATGGCTCACCATGTTGAAGCTAGAAATGTGAACCACGGACTTGGTCTGCAACTTTACTGAGAAATCAATCTGTACCACAACAGCCAAGTCAAGACGTTCAGGCTTTTGCATTCACATTGGCCCTCCGATTCTTAAGTCTAACACTTGAAACGCCGGAAATGCAGAAGAGAGAGCAATTGAGCTTAGCGTGAAGAGTGGTATCTTTAGCGAGAAGTGTGTGGAAGTTGATATACCAGAATCCTACGTTATAATTTACTCGGAACTATCGAGGGGAAGTCGGGTTTTATTGAATATGTGGAAAGTTTGTGGATGACAAGCGGAGAAAATGGTGTGATGAATAGCATTCGTATCATTTCGGAGACCAATCGACGTTCACCCTTTTCAATAGTGGCGGCACTGTAATGCACCCAATGAGATAACAATAAGGTGATGTCTTGTTAATGTTAATTTGCCGGGTAATTTAAGTGTATCCGTCGGATTTAATACTCGGGTTTTAATCTAGACATATACTTGTCGATGTAATAATGACACGTGTCTAGGGTTGATAAGGCGATCGAAATCACAATTTGTCACACCAAGTCAAGCCGTGAGTCAATTGTTGTAAAGCCACCGCCCCCATCGAGCCAGAGTCATTACATGACAAAAAGGTCTTTATATTGCCAGGTTGTATGTTCTTTGATGCAATTCGACACAATCCAGCGAGAACGTGGATGGCAAATCATAAAAATTCCAACTAGATGAAATGATTTCGAAACTCAGCCCTCCAATCAAACTTTTCTCCTACCCAGAAGCAATACCCAAAAGAGTTGAAGAGAGTTACTAATGGTAAAATCATTTTGAACATTAACGACAAATAAATAAAAATAAAAAAGAACATGCCATCGATTCCATCGGCCTACCAGGGAATTGGACTGGACCGGTCCGATTCTCGTTTCCTAAGATGGAATGGGATCGTTCGGAAACCGATTACCGCCGTTTCGGTCCGGTTCCAAGAGGCACCGGTCCAATTCTCGTTTCCTAGGTTGAAATTGGATAGTCCGGAAACCGATCATCCCTATTTAATATTCCGAATCATATAATTGGTGGGAAAGAAGAGCGCTTTCTCAATGAACATCTGCCCCTCTTTCCGAGCGCTTTTCGAGGAAATTGTTGAAGACGACGATCGAACGAGAAGATTATAAAAAAAAAACGAGGGACCAAGACGGAAGAGTCCACGGTCGAGCAGCGACAAATTGGAAATGGATGGTATAGGAAAAGGACGGGGCAACTTCAGACCACATTTGGTGCATCTGTCTGACATGAAATTCGCGTCGTGGTGGTGCGTGGTGGGTCAGGTAGTAGCACGAGAATGCGGTAGCAAAATCACGTGGTTTTCGGATCACATTTCAATTCCCAATGTTGATCCTTCCCCCGTCACCATCGCTCTCCATAATTTGCAGCACTTTGTAGGTGAATTTGGGGTACGGTCCATGCTTTCAAGTACGTTCGTATCCATTGGCCAAATTTTTATATCCGACCCGACCTACTTCCTCATGAGTATTTTCTTTTTTATTTACAACGTCGTTGTAAGTAAATATGATGACGTGATCTGAAATTATTCGCTCGACACGAGCGAGTTGGGCACATCGGCAAAATTGGGAAGGAGTAGAGAAGCGGTGTGGTGGTCATTGACGGGATTCGGTCGCGGGCCTACATCCACGAGGTTAGGGAAAAAGCGTGATAATGACTATAGCCTGGTTGGAATATACAAGAGATTACGTAATCTCACCGCCAAGTACCTTCAATTTTCCACTACTCTCTGCAATTACAAAAAGGCGAGAAGGGTTGGAAAATATGCCTAAACTTCTTAGATTCATTTTCCGTGTAGCTTGATTTACCAATGAATTCGAGCGATACTCGATGTCGCCTACTTAGTAAAACCTGAATATATATATCCTTATAAAAAAATATAATTTCTCTTAGTAATGATCATACATCACGTCGTTACTCCACGCGACATGCAGCTCTGAACTACAATATGCCATAAAAAATAGGCGCCTTTCTTTCTCTCTTTGTCGGCTTTGAGCTCCAACAAAGTTTCACTACGCTTCACAAAACGCCGCATTATTATCGATCATCGCACGTCACCCGGACCGACTAGTAATGTTATGTATCACGCGGCCATCGAATTGGGGTTATATCTTTATATTACCTTGGAGGGTTTGTTGACTTGCAAGGTCACCCAAAAATTGACTAAAACGGAAGCAAAGTCCTACATAAGAGCTATGTTGACGACTTTTTCTCCCTCGTGATCGGACAATGTCGTGTGCTTTAGGTAATTAAGGAATGATAACGTTTCGTGGATTTCAACCCCCCGAAAGTGGGTGGCAATTCTCGATTTTTTCTTTGACCCTATGGTGAAAAAGTTAGGCTGATTCGTTCAAGAAACCATCATGAGAAAAGCTAACGATTAACGACTATTAAAGCAATCATCATCTCATACGCGGTCTTTCTTACAGTGAATCTCCACATCCATCCATTCAAATTCTGACAGGGGAAGGCGAGCCCTCTTTGCACAGATGCTTCAATCATGGTGTCACGGTACCTTTTGGTTGGAATTGATTTTGGGACCACGACAGATTAGGACCTGAGTAATTCATTAAACTGCTTCATCTGAATTCTGAATTTGGACGTTAAATTTGGAGGTATTTCCTAGGGTGAAGAAAGAAAAACTTTTCCCCAATTTAGGGGGTTGGATGTGAAGTCACCAGCACGTTAAAATAAAGAACGCAGTACTGTCAGCCCGCCATTTAATTTCTGACAGGGAAAGGCGAGCCCTCTTTGCACAGATGCTTCAATCATGGTGTCACGGTACCTTTTGGTTGGAATTGATTTTGGGGCTAGTGACAGGTTTAACAGGGTCGTGTTCGTCGGGAAGAAGTAAATCAAGGAAAAGAGAAAGTTGAAGAAAGAGTTTATAAAAAGACTGATGCGATGGAAAAGGATGTTGATTAGCTTGGATTTGATTGGCAATTTGGCATGACTTTATGAACCTGAAAAGCTCACGTCGGTGGGAGCAGCGCCTCGTAATCATCTTCTTTTGCTGCATCAGCTGCTCATCAGCAAAGGCACTGATGGAGCTTTTTATCCCCCACCTTTCATGGCAATTACCATAGTCATAGGAACACCATGCTTAACCCCATTTGTCAATTTGGCAGAGAACGGAGATGATTCGGCTGGTTTTGTCCGACGAGATCTGCTCAACAACTCGAAGAAGGGTTTGCCTGGCTTAGGACGACGCTTCGGCCGATTCCTCTAGGTGCTGTGATTAAGTCCATATACTCTCTTCTTTCATTATCATTGTTTGGTCGTATAGTAATTGCACTGGGCCAAGCTAACTTTGGCTCTTTCTATCCCAAGTCTTGGCTCTGTACTATTTCCTAGTACGACCGTCCAGGAGCCATCGCTACGTGAGGAGAGGGAGAAAGACCCAACAGGGGCATGACCGAGACCAACGACCAACCCACTCCTATATTTATTGAGCAAAGTCGACAATATTGTCTTCAAAGGACACCAGCCCATCACGAGTCGGCCCCGTCAAATCATGTTGCAACGTATGAATGCGATGCCGTCGCCTGTTTTTCTTGTTAAGTTGAGAGTTAGCCAATTGATCATGGAGAATATCAGGGTGATTTTCGCAAACGACCATTACCGACATCGAGAACGACATAAAAAGAGCGAAGCATTGCAGTTAAATCACATTCCTACCGATATAGGAACGAACCTAATCCTTCTAAGTATGTGCACTGCAATTCACTGGCTTCATCAGGAAGGTATTCATGCATCGACTCAATTCTAGTTTGCTTGTGAATGTTTTAACTGTAAGATTCCACACGAGAAAGCGTTCTTAAATATCGAAAAGCAAGTGATTGAAAATCTTCAAGGGCTTAAACTTGAGCAGCAGGTGATCAATACTTCATTCCAACATTTATTCTCATAAAAGAAAGGACACAATTAATGCACTCATCATAAAGCAAAATCGCCAAAGGGATGGCATGGGAGATGTTATCTGAGGTATTACAACATGATAAAAATTCCAGCAATCCTGACATTTACTCACTCCTCAACTGATCCACAACCAAAGTATTGTGTAGAGTTCAAGTGGGTAAATTTTCCCACAGAATTTAGAGAGAACCAACAAAAGCAAGTACATGTCACTTTGCATTATTTCTGCGCTATTACTCGGTAAAAGAACCATGCTCTGCATAATGTGTTTAAGCCAGGAGAAAATAAATCCTACAAATAATAGCTACACACGAAAAAAAAATTGAAATAGGAAGAGCAACTTGTATTAGGGTATCAAACTATTGACTTACAGTCTCATCACACTCGTTTTATCTTCTCCTGCCGCTATCCCTGTAGTCCCCTTCACTTTCTTTATCCTTCAAAAAGCCTAGGAATGCAAGGAAGCCGAAAAAGAAGAATCCACCCGACCAGTTGCCACCGCCGCCACCCCCACCACCTCCACCATCACCGTCATCGCGAGGCGGGAAACCTGTACCGCCGTCGTCGAGTTGTGGCGACTTTTCCTGAACTGCAATTCAAATATGTACTTGTCAGCTACATTTAGAATGAGAGAGATTCTCCAAACACATGCAGACATATCAAACATTCTACAGATGGTCAGCTTCCAAATTGCCATTGAAGAATTAGAATACGAAGCACATAACAGAAGCATGGCTGACACCAGCATGGTCTCTAGAAATAAGACCATGGTCATTTAACTGGATGGGACAAGATGAACTATTTCCAAAAGAACAGTATGAGAAATCCGGACTGCTTAGCAGCTCCCCATCTTTATAAAATGAGATTACGCAATATGACCTGAGGTGGGCTATTATTAGTCAAGTAGCCAAGCAATCCCTCATTATATTATAGATGCTATGCCGATACTGTATGAGTATGGATTGATAGAGCTATTACTGTGAGTAGGCGCTTGGGTAATTGTCGGAGCTTTGTGCGTAATAGTCTGGGTTTGCTCTGCGCCACATCTTGCATTCTGCAGGCAGTTGACAGAAAAATGTCAATGAAGGACTTGAAAAAAGAATTCCAATTCTATTTTGAATAGTCTATAAACAATTTGTTCTATAGTGCCAGACCATTCGCACAAAACGGCATGAGAGAGAGAGAGAGTTTTACATTTGTACATGCATTTACTGCTCCAGGCTTTTTTAGGTCACTTATATCATGAGGTTATCTAACTGTTATGTTCTACTAAAAAGTAAGAACTACTTGCATGTGTGTTGATATTCTCCATTGTGCACAACAGCTTGATTTTAATGGGCTTGCAAAAAATAGCTACTTGGTTATCTATCATGCCAGCCTAAAAAAATTAGGAAAAATCTAGCTCTCAATCTCATGCTTAATGGACAACCTAGCCGAAAAACAACAGAACAATATGATGGCACCCAATATAATTTTGATCATATTGACTATAAATCATATTCTTATATTACTTAGCAAGTACTAAGCAAAACAGCATAATATCTTGGAATTGGATGAACGAAATAAAGCAGACAAGCCAAAGTACTTAATACTAACCAAAGCTGCAAAACATATGGCCGAAGTGGATCTTCCAATTGAAGGCATGACATATCTCCTTCTATTGATGGGTTGTAGTTGTATCCCCAATCCTGCTGGACTTGAAGCAATGACCTTAACTTTTCCCCTTAGGGCAGAAAGATGTTTAGATTGCAAACCAAGCTCCACGGGGGAGTGTCTCATGATCTTAGTTCGTTCCTGTAACCTAGCATCTGTTCGTATCGCAAGTAGTGTTAAAAGATAAACTAGAATCATAAATAAAAGTCAAAACATGCTACTTCTAATTTTCCAACAGCAAAAGAAAGTCTATGGTAAATCAAATCAAGCCATGTCAAATGTCTGGTGAGCATGTCTGGGTGAAAGATGATGTTGTCTCAACAAAAAAAATAAGACATAAAACTTTTTGGGTTGATATGCAGAAAGATAACCTTAAGATGCTTCAGCATCAGTAAGAACATGCCTCTTTCCGAAAGTGAATTACTAAAAGAGGTGAAAGTGTAAATGATATGGGTAGAAGTAAAGCTCTAAAATATGATCTTGTCGATGCTACTGCATATCATCTACCTCAATACATGCCCAGGATGTTAAACCTACCAGTATATGCTATATAATATATACCCACAATTTTGAAAATGATAGGAGAATATCAAAGAAAAATAGATTGTTATCTTATTCTTTCAAAAAGCGTGTAAAATAGACCTTAGTGGATATTTTATAGACCTGCAATTTCAATTCGATAAAGCAGAAGGACAACAACAAAATGCTGGAACCTTTAAAAAGCAATGCTTTGTCACTTAATAACAGGTTTCTCAGAGAATATAATACCTTAGATTGTCTTCAAATCATATAAGTTTAAGGTATCAAACTACATATACTAACTGAATCTTCAAATTTTGGGAGAAAAAACTGTCAGCAACACCACAAGCAACCGCTTGATATTAAATGCTATAATTCATTATTTAAAAGCTTCATCTCAAAACAGCACCTAGTGCCACCAACATCTCCATATGTCTATCCCATCCATATCAGTAATCCATATCCTAACAACACGCAGCAGTGGATATCTTATTTCACAATGTAGTCAAATTTAGAAAGACCTAAAGTTAGGGATTTCTCAATAGATATTGTGCTGGGGATTTTATATACCCATTCAGGGGGGTATGAGATATGATGTTCGTCCCCATCTTGCTTAAATATTTCCTTTCCTTTCATCAATCATAGCAGGCCTTTCAGTTTCCTGACATTCAGTGGTGAGTTGCGGTGGCAAGCCCTCAATCTAGAAGTCAACAAGAAGTGCAGTTATCCATTTACATATGCAATTACCAAGAAGAGGGCACTTCTCATCCATGTAGTGTCAATTAATAATATACATTACATCATATCACATCTTTCCAAGTCAGAATCAAATTAATGCACCACCACAAATTCAGACAGAACCGCATGTCATCAATCCCATTTCCACAGTGATTTATGCAATCAATGTTAATTACCCGTTGGTAGTTGAGAAGTGGAGCAGATAGTGCTTGAAACAAAGATAGACATCTTCACAGCAATGGATCAATGTAACCTGCACATATACACATTGACGTTAGACTGAATTAAGCAACAGCTTCTAAGAATCAGAAAAAAAAACTGGATTTAAGCAGTAACTAAGTGAAAGTACATGATCTAGAAGACAGATGCAGCATGAGATTTAACAAAAACATGATAAATCTCTATGTCATTACTCATACAACTGTTGAATAGCATTCCAATACAGAAGAATCACACATGAGAAGACTGATTTCTGAAGTAAATAAGGCTCTGGCCTTTTAATCGGAAAGATCGCATGCATGGCTAAGCAAAAATAAAGGCATTTGAGACTTGAGAGAACTAAGGAGATTTAAGTCACATAGAACCAAAGTCTCAAAATCAGGACAACGAACAAGCCCAATAACAAGAATAAAACAGAATTAGCATGTATTAAGAAGTGGTCGTCCACACTCCACAGCCTGGACTAGTTCTTCCCTCAGCTATTTGTGCTATACAACTGTAAACGATAAGTACGATATTGATAGAGCCTTCTTCCAATGAACAATGGCTACGTATGCACCGGTCGACCCTTTATGATGGCGCATCCTTGGAAGAATATATGTATCTAAAGGAAATTTCAGACCAAAAAGTGGGACGGGTAAAATAACTTCATGTTGTAAATACAAATTGGGGAATCATTCAATTACCCATTTGGCGGATTGCAGCAAGGCATTGCCATTCATTTTTAAGCTGGAGCTATTAAACTAACACATAAATAAGAACCTCCCCATAAGGTAACAGCATATTATTCCGGTAACCCACATTCACCCGAAGAACTTGGGACAACAGATAACTTCGGCACATCGATTGCGTAACTTGGGACCTTTTTTTAATTCTAATCAACCGATAACTTCAAAACCATTGATCTCCAGTAACTTCTCTCTCCACCATAACAGGCAAGAATCTAAAGCTTCACTCAATAACCTATTGTCGCTAATCGCCGATATACAAAGACAAGTTACCATAAGCGTATGCCATGTACTGTACTCCACGAAAGCCTAATCTAGTATAACAGAATCGCATAGTAATTACGAACATCCAACCGGATCAACTAGTGACAACGATTACAATTCTATCCGATTGTTTTAAGAAATACCACAAATTTCTTCCATTTTTTTTTTCGACGAGCAACAAATCTATCCGAACAAAAGGAATCAAATTTCTGCAATTCATGCGAACTAAAAGCTCAACAATCAATCAAACAGAAAACGTCTACAGTTGTCAATTATCATCAAAAGAACCTATTTGTCGTCCTGCCCAATTCGTCCTGAACGCATAAAGAAAGCGAATCAAAAGGACGCAAAGCAGCAATTTTTATCTATCCACCGCCAATATCAAAGCCAAACACGAGCGACGGAAGATGTCTACGTACTCTTGAGATGTGCGCGGCGGCGAAAAGAGCGAGCTTTGGCCTCTGGGGACGGACCGAATGACGCGGGCGAGATAGGGAGAGGGAGAAAGAGGGAGAGGCGGAGGTGAAAGACGAAAGAGCTTGAATCGGACGCGAATGTCGCCCGGCGACGCGAGGTCGAGCTTTTCACGCCGACGTCGCCACCGCCACCGCCACCGCCACCGCCTCTCGGAGAGCAACCCGAAGGAGGAGGAGCTACAACCCAGAGCAGAAAGGAGGAGAGAGAGAGAATGCTGAGGATGTTGTTAACCAGCAGCAGCACCTCAAAGCTCGAAGGTGGTCCGGGTCGTGCTGTTATTGGGCTTGCGGCTCTCCTTGAAAACGGGCTGGGCTTGTAGCCCCCACAGATGGCCGAGTAACCGGAGCTCAGCCCGCTTCCCTTCGACTCAAGCGCCGCCGTCGGTGGCGGCCGAGCCTCTGGAGGACGTGACGGAGAGCGGCTTGCAAGTCCACGACGGAGACGACCAAGGCGAGGCCTTCCTCGACGAGCCGTCTCTCTCGTTTCTTCTGATGATCACAATGCTAGCGATTCACGCGCAGCTCAGTTGGTGTCTCTTCTTGTACATGAGCGTTGCGGATGTTCGATTTTTTTCGTTTAAGCTTAATACCATCGTGCCAGTTCAGTGACCTTTGTAAGGTACTAAGTTGGAAATTTGAAGTCATTCTCTTTGGATATTGTTAATAATCGGGATAATGACATGAATAGTCCATGAATTTTGACCCAATATGCAATGTGGTCCCTGAACTTTATCTTAATGTTCAATATAGTCTCTAAATTTTTAATTTGTTCAATGTGATCCTGGATTTTTGGTAAATATTCAATGTAGTCTCTAAACTATATGAAAATGTTCAATGTCAATATAGTCCTTCCATTAATTCAAGATCATGGACAACATTGAACATTTTCATATAGTCCAGAGATTAATTTGAACATATACCAAAAGTTGAGGGACTACATTGAATAGATTAAAACTTCATAGACCACATTACAGGGAAAAGTGCCAAAAAATTCCTAAATCTTTTGCATTGGTGCCAATTTAGTCCTAAACCTTTTTTTGGTGTCAATTCAGTCTTAAACCTTTTGCATTTGTGCTAATTTAGTCATAAACCTTTTGTCTTTGTGCCAATTCAGTCCTTCCGATCAATTTTGGCGGAATTTGCTGACGTGGACATCGGCCGGCCGGCGGTTGGTCACCGGAGCTGACGTGGACAACTTTAATAATATTTTTATATTTTTTTAATTTTTATTTATTTTTTTCTCTTTTTTTTTTCCCTCCCCTCCCTCCTTCCTCCGGCCGGTCGCCGGACCGGCAACCGGCCAGAGGCCGATGCTGGCGAGGCTCGCCTTCGCCCCTCGCCAGTGGCCGACGATCGGTTGGAGGAAGGAGGGAGGGGAGGGGGAAAAAAATAAGAAATAAATAAATAAATATTCAAAAAAATATTAAATTTTTTTTAAAGTTGTCCACGTCAGCGCCAATGACCGGCCGCTGGCCGATCGGCGTCTACTTCAGCAAAATTCAGCTACAATTGGCCGGAATGACTAAATTGGCACAAAAACAAAAGGTTTAAGACTAAATTGGCACAAATATAAAAATTTTAGGATTGAATTGACACCATAAAAAGGTTTAGGACTGAATTGGCACCAAAAAAAGGTTTATGACTAAATTGGCACTAATGCAAAAGATTTGGGACTTCTTTGGCACTTTTCCCCCACATTACACATTGGACTAAAGTTTAAGAATCATATTGAACAAATTAAAAGTTCATGACCACGTTATATATTGGCCAAAATTTAAGGATTATTTGTATCATTTTCCCTTAACAATTATCGGACTTTTGATAGCTTGTTGTCTCTGTTTTATGTTCCAGAGGAAGCTGACGATTCTTTGCACACATTCACCGGACATAACGGTAACTTTTTCTGTTCTTGCTTGTTTCCGAACAGCAATCTTCCAAACTTAAAACCTTGGCTCTCTGAACTTCAGCTTTTGTTTATCCCGTGTGTGTCTTTAGATGGGTCGTGAAATTTCTGTTTGTGTCTTTGCCCCCATGTTTGATGTCTTTCATCGTTGAGAATGCGCGCTCTACCCTACTAGACACGATCATCATGCTAGTCTAGGTTCTGGTGGAATAGAGCATGAGATTTTAAGTTTGTCGTGAAACTCAAATAAGCCATGTTATGTCTTTGCCGACTTGCCTATTCACTTCGTCGTTTGCAGGTGAACTATATACAGTTGCTTGCAGTCCCACGGATGCAGCACTGGTGGCAACTGAAGGTGGTGACGATAAAGCGTTTCTGTGGAGGATAGGTCAAGGGGATTGGGCATTAGAGCTTCAAGGCATGTAAATGAAGCCACGTCCTCTTGAATATAAGATCCATTTCCTTGATGTTTTACTTGTCATTAATGTTAGAGCAGGCGCTAATTTGTTTATGTGATCCTCATTCTGAACAAGGCTTTATGACTCCAATTCTTTGGAGCTCCTGTAGGTCGTAAGGATTCTGTATCTAGCTTAGCATTTAGTATGGATGGGCAGTTGCTTGCATCTGGAAGCCTCGATGGACTTAATTCAGATTTGGGATGTCTCATCTGGCAATCATAAAGGAACCCTGAAGGACCTGGAGGGGCCATAGAGGTGAAAATGTGTACTAATTATATCATGCCTAGATATATCATTTTCGCAAAGAAGTTTCGAGTGAGCTGTGTGATTACTCAGTGGGTCAGGTGGCATCCAAAGGGACATTCAATACTGGCAGGTTCTGGAGATTTGACAGCTTAAGTTTATACTTGAATATGTTCTCTAGACATGGTAGCAATGTAACTTGAGCACATTTTACTCTTGATGGTACTTATTTAGTCTCTACTTTGATGTCTTCTACTGTGAAGCATGTTTTTGGTCATTATCAACACCATGGCATTTCCTTACTATAGGCCTCCTGTTTACCTAGGTAAAACAATTTGTACTGGCTCTGATGATGCGGCGAGACACTTATGGCAAACTTGGAAGTAGCTTCCTGGGAAAGAAGTTTTTAAGGTATTATGGCAGAATTTCAGGAGATGATAAACGACTTCTCTTTGATCATGTTTTGCATTTTAATTTTTTAATCATTACTATATGATTTGATCAACTACCGAAAAGATGTATGTTTTGTAGATAGGTGGATGAGCTACAGGATCTTGAATATAATGAGAAAGGCCTTGCATTCTTCTAAAATATAAGCATCACTTGTGTTAGTCTCTTTGTAAATCATGAATTCAATGCAATAAGATGCTATCATGAACCTTAATTTTACCTCTTTAACTGGTATTGCTTGGAGTAGCAATATCCTTTGAACTTTATCACGAGACATCTAGTTTTTTTTTGCTTCTATAGCAGTTCCTATTAGCTTTGAGGCACAGTAGGGATTATTTGACTGTGGCCTAGCACTAGATCTTTGTGAAAGAGGACCATTCGAGATGATCACATCTAAGCCGTTCATTTCTGTTTGTTTATTTATCTGGAACGTAGCAGACCGTGCCCAGTGGCAAAGGGCTTAGTTTGTTGTTGTCATTTGTTTATTTGGCTGAGATGTCTTTTCAGTGATCTAGGCATCCTCGAAAGTCACTAGTCAAAACTTGAATTAGTTTTTATTCCATTTATCTGAAAGCTGATAATTGGAAAGCCCAATAAATTTGGTTTCTTTTCCTCCCCATTTTTGTAGGACTATCACGTTCCTCCTTATATAATGTCTAAAATTTTGTATGTATTGGAAGAAAAAGGCACTGGAAAAACGAATGACTAACATATAGTAAAGATGTGGTATCTGAAGTCAGAGTGGCGTATGCAGCCTTTGTTGTTCCTTCCAATTTACTCGATATCTCATGTGTTCTACTTAGGTTAATCATATCATGCTGAAGGATTGACATGCATGACGATAAGCTCTGATTCAAGTTTTGCTCTTATTGGTGCAAGAGATGGTTCCGTTCGCCTTGTCAATATATCAAGCGCAAGTGTTGGATCTTGTTTCCTGTTCTCTTCTTCTTTTTTTAGTCTGTTTGTTTTTTTTAACCTTTTCCCTCTCCATTCATGTCATACTATCTTGAAGAATCCATTTGTGTCAATGGAAATGCAGGAGGAAAAAAAAAATCATCAATTACGAACCACTTCTGGTAGGATTGATTGATTTAATCAGGACGTGGTACAGTGGAGGTGTCGATAAACTCTTGACTAATTCAAATTTGATATAGCAGTTTCAGATTAATTAATTCAGTCTTGTCAAAAACCTTTGGGTATTATCAGTCATCTCAAGACCATTTTATTTGGTCTTGTGATGAAATTACCTTGTTACTCAGTTAGTGCATATATATGCATCATGTCTTTGCCCTTGCGAATATTATAAATTGGATATATGGCTATGCTGTGGCCGAACCAATTAGTGCATTTACAGTCTCATGACATATGCTACTGATACCGACAGATTGTAAGTTCTCTGGATGCTCATGCTGATTCCGTTGAATGTGGGGGACTGGCACCAAGGTATAACCTGTTCTAACATCCTTTTTCGAAGTACCATGTAAACATGTTCTTTTGATTTGTGCATGGGCTTATTCAAGGTCAAGTTAAATCTGGTTCTTGGCCTACTTGTCAATGGGAGTGCCCCAGGAATTTGTTGAGGGTTCCAATTACACATTGCTCTAAGAAATGGTTTGAAACATAGTTTAGGAGGACATCTGCAGATATAATCTGCAAGTCAATCTTCATAATAATATCGAGAGCTCAATGCTCTTTTTTGAGTTAGACTTGAATGGTGTGATGCACGTGTAGTTAGTAATAGACTACCATAAAAAACTTTAAGCTAAAAGAATGACAGTGGAGGAGCAAATATCTGCATTATGAGAGTAGAACAATGTTATGATAGCTAATTCAAAACCAAAATAAGTAGTGGTTAGTTGCTAAGAGCATTGATTTATAGTTATGGCGGTCAACTTAATATGAGAAGGCAAGTGAAGCGTGAGTTGCTGCCTAGTTCCCACGTTCCAGTGTGATTGACTATGTGCTGGTCATATATCATCTATATATGTGAGAAAAATATAGGGATTACTTAAAATAATAGTTCAGAACTATATATCGATTTGCATTTAGTATTGACTCCGATCAAATTCTCGCTGGAACATTTAGTATCTTGCTCTCACATGCAGTACATTCTTCCACTTTATTTATATGTATATACTTACATGATGAATTTGCCACCCGTAATTAGTCACGTTGCCACCAATTTCCAAAACTCGGGTAAATCGCGAAAATTGAAACGTCAAGAGGAAAATTTGTAAAAATCTGGAAAACTGTGCACCTTTTTACCCACCATGTTATCTGAGTTTTGGAGCAGAGTACGGAATAAAATGGCCAATGAATTTATTTCAGCAGTAGGGATTCAAATTCAATCCACAAATTTACTGCATGAAGACTGAGCCATCTGCCGAATCAGGTGCCCTCATTCATTTCTGAGAGGGTCGAAAGATATCAATGGCCCGGAAGACCGATGATCACAGAGCTGGAAGCCGTGCACTTCCAGCCTGACGCGTCTCCCCGCCATCAAAACTCAACCAGAGAGCACCAGGAACACAGCTCAAATTGCTGGAAAAGCAAAGTGGGGTGGCTTGGAACTCGACCTTGTTTCGGTTGGCCTTTGAAGACCGATGCCCAAACCGGACCGAAAACGAAAGCAAAATGCTTTCATTTTCATATCCGCAACAGCAGCTATGCTTTGAAAAATCTAGAGGGGACCAAGAACCTTTCACTTGAATGGAAGCAGATCGAAGAAGAGGGTCCACTGTCTGTTCATTACCTCTTGTAAGTTTTGTATGTTGGGCTTGCCAGTAGAGATAGTTAATGACTATCGGACGCCAGCAGATTCACCTGTAGATATGGGACGGTGATGGCCACAAATGCCATTACTTTCCGGCAGTCGTACTTGGTCCTCAAACTAGGTCGCATTGAAAGCTCGTCCCCTCTCGAGCATTAATCTATCTATTCGTAATGTTAGTGGTAATTTCCGCTTTTCAAATTTAGGTTCCGTTTGTTTTGCGAAATATAAATAATTTAAAAAATATTTTTTAAAAAATAATTGCTTACATCACTTGAAATAATAAAATTCCAAGTAAAAAGTTGATAAACAGACATGAGTCGATGCGCTATCGGTATCTAAAATGCTCTTTTGACAGAATTTGTACTAGCATATAACTTCTTATATTTCATATCATGCTTTGGCAAAGTACCTCTCCTTTGACTTCAACTATAACAATATATAATGGTGGGTGAGTTCTTGCTTCTTAGGGATTTCAACTACTAAGTTTGGTTATGCCTACAAGGAGTTCAAACATATGATACGAAAATGATAGGTACATAAAAAAAATTGAGGAAATTACTAAAAAAATTTCAAACCTGTTGCATTTGTGCCAAATCAGTCATAAACGTTTTAATTTGGTCAATTTAGTCTTAAACCTTTTGACAATTTTCAAATTTAGTCCTAAACATTTCAATTGTGCAAATTCAATTCTAAGGCTGTGTTCGTTTGCGGAAAAATATTTTTCCGGAAAATATTTTCCGCGTTTTCCGTGGGAAAATATTTTCCTTCCCCACCCCAAATCCTTCATTGTTTTGAGGAAAATGATTTCCTCTTTTCACAAAGAGGAAATCATTTTCCCCCAAATTGAAGGCAAAATTGCCCATGGGAGGGAAAATGTTTTCCGTGGTAGAGGAAGTTGATCGCCGGTCACCACCGCCGGCCGCCGGTCGCCGGTCGTCGGCCGCCGCCGGCCGCCCGCCCGCCCGCCGCCGCCGGTCGCCGCCGCCCGCCCGCCGCCGCCGGTCGCGGCCGCCGCCGGTCGCCCAGCCTGACCGCCGCCGCCGCCGCGCCGGCGGCCGCCGTCGCCGCTCGCCGATCGCCGCCACGCCGCGTCGGCCTGGGCGGAAAAATATTTTCCGAAACTTTTTCATATTGGTAGCCGAACACCGGAAAATTATATTCCGGGAAAACATTTTCCAGGAAAATGACTTACGGGAAAATATTTTCCAAAAGGAGAATATTTTCCGCCAAACGAACGGAGCCTAAATCTTTGGACGATTTGCCAATTTAGTCTTAAACATTTTGATTATTTGTTAATTTAGTCGTTCCGGTCAATTTTGATCGGAAATCGCTAACATGGCGATTTAGTCGTATGCCACGTAGGACGGGCGGCGCTGATGTGGATAATTTTTAAATTATTTTTTTCCTTTCTTTATTTTTTTCTTCTTTTCTTCTCTTTTCTTTTTCTTTTTTTTTTGGCCAGCGACTAGCCAATCCTCACCTACACCAAAAATTGTCTAAAGTCAACGCTGATCATGTCGCGTAGGATGACCGACGTTGACTAGACCTCGATGTCAACAATTTTTCGGCAAAAATTGATCGAAAGAACTAAATTGGCAAATTATCAACAGGTTTAGTATTACATTGGCACAATTAAAATGTTTAGAATTGAATTGAAAAATTGTCAAAAATTTTAGGACTAAATTGGTCAAATTAAAACGTTTATGACATAATTGGTAAAAGTATAATAGATTTATGACTTTTTTAGTAATTCCCTTTAAAAAAATCGATAGCCCTAAAAGTTATGAATTCCGCTATCTTATGTAAAGGTCACTATTTCGTCATACCGAACGAGTGGGCCTTAGCGTTCGTTTTGAGGATGCGGATGTTGTATCATGTTAGGCGAGTGGTTCGGATCGGATTTTTTCCCAGCAACTCGCGCTTCTTCTTCTTCTTCTTCTTCTTTTTGAAATCCGGAAAATAAATTTTCCCAAGTGTTTGAAAGTTACATCCCCATAATTATATGCAAATTTACATGTTAATGCTTACCCATTTTTTCAGATGATTCCAAGCGTTTCGGGAACGAAATCTATAACATGTCAGCCGCGAGATATGAAAATAATTAAATTAAATTGGTCGTACTTTTTTTTTTATCATTAATGCATGAGACTGACAGCAAATCGCTTTTGCCACAAAATCGGGAATTGAATGCATTCCTCTGAAAGACCAACGCCCGAATCATAATGTTGCGAAGCGAATCTAATAAAGAATGACCAAAAATCAGACATCAACGTGGAAGTGCCGCGTTTCGCGGCGAGAGGGTAGCGACGGGTTGGTCTTTGTCTTACCCGACAACTATCGGTCAACTCCCCTACCACACAGCCCCCTCAACTCTTCCTTAACCTCAAGTCTAACATCAAAGACAAAATTACATGGTCCATTTTTTTAAAGGATTAATACTACTAAAAACTCCAAATCGATATATCTGTGATGAATTTACTTAAAATTAATTTTTTAAATATCAAAAATCCTAAATTAGTACATTTGTGACAAATATACCCTCCGTCAAATTGGATTAATACCATAAAAAATCATGAATTGGTAAACTGCCACATGTCATCAAACTTAACAATTTGAAAATAAAATTTAACAAAAACTAACGGAGGGTAAATTTATCACATGTGTACAACTTTGTGATTTTTGGTGGTCAAAAAATTAGTTTAGGGTAAATTTATCACACGTGTACCAATTTGAGATTTTTTGTGGTACTAACCCTTTTTTTTAAACATATATGCCCTTGAATAAATCTAAATTGTGGAATCCAAACTTCTCCTCAAATGGAACTTGTTAAAGAAATTAAACTGTGGGTGATTTTCCTTTTATTCATTACTTTGGATAATGAGTTTAATGAAAGAAATTTGGTGGTTGACATGCGTATAGGGTTAAATTGGCAAAATCTATTTATGCTCTTAAATGGAAAGTCGGATTTGTGAAACTTCACCTCGCCCTCCATCGTCGAGCCATCTCGGCCACCCGAATTTTTCGTGTCCTCCGCGATTGGACTCGATACCCCAACACTGGACCCGAGAGCTAAGTATGCAGGCATGGAGCCTCGCTGTGGGTCCGAGCAATGGCAGACCGAGAATTTCGCGTGAGGAATGGTAAGTTTTAACTAATATACGTGCATATATATATATTCACACGCACATAACTTTTTTTACGAACTTCTTTTCCCAGCACTTTAAAAATTGGAGACCTAAGGGGCGAGGGTCACCACCACCGCCCGTTAGGTCGGCCAATGGATCCGACCGCTTGATATTCGGGTCTGAGGACTTGATGGGACTTGATTCCTCAACACTTGACTATTCCCAATGTCTTAGCAAAGGGACACAAGGACTCGGGACCCCGACAATCGAACTCGAGATCCAAACCGGTGATATTTAGAGCTTTTCGATAACAAAAATTAAAAAGGTGATTTTGAACATGGTTGTAATTTGCGAGTTCCATTCAAGCACATGACAGTATACCGTGTCGTCAAAGTAAATAGAAATGGTATCACGCAAGAAACTTGAGATGTCGAAGATAGACGCCACTAGAAAACAACTTTTCTCGGTAAAGTTTGGTCCAAATTAAATTTAGAAAAAGACTTAATATCATAAAAAACCCCAAGCTGGTACATCTATGATAAATTTACCCAAAACTAATATTTTGACTACTAAAAACCCAAAATTAGTACATTTGTGACAAATTTATCCTCCATTAGTTTCCATTAGATTGAATTAATACAAAAAAATTCACAAACTGTTACACCTGTGATAAACGGAGGGTAAAACATAAAACTGACATATCAGTCAACTGTCGCGTGTCATTTAACAAAATAATTTGACAGTAAAATTTAACGGAAACAAACTAGGGGTAAATTTATCACGGGTGTATCAGTTTAGGATTTTTGATGATCAAAATATTAATTTGAGGTAAAATTATCACAGATGTATCAGTTTGAGATTTTTCGTGGTATTATTCCTTAAAAAAAATGATCTTTTCATCGGGTTTAGAGAAGTATGCAATGGAAATCTACGTGCACACTCGCTTTTCATTACAGCAGGGGGAGGGAGGTAGGGTACCGTACCTGGGGAGGCATTTGCGTAATGACTCCTCTGTTCTGTCCTTCCGGCGGTCGACGGCGGATTCCTACGGCCGTGGGGGGCAGTTTACGCGAACATCGTGCAGGTCAAACAAAAAGAACGAAAGAAAAGAAAGAAAGAAAAATACGGCGCAACGAGGAGTCCCGTCCCACTATAAAATCCGCCAAGAAACCCGAAGCTTTCATTCGTCCACTTGGTCAGGAAGTATCTCACTGCTCCTGACGTTCTTCCTTTGCGGGCACGCGAGGTTAACGCAGCCGCGATCCAGGCCCACGGCGTCGTCGCTCCTTTGCCTCGTCGTCGTCTCCGTTCATTTGGGCTTTCCTCCCCTGTTCCCTGGAGCAACGTCGCAGGGCGAGCGACCGATTGGTTCTGTGCCAGGGTCGAGAACGAGCTGAGCTTCTTGGATTTGATGGGATTTTCTTGTATCTAGAAATTCAGCTTCCAAGACCGACTACTTTGACTCGCGGGGTCGATTCCTTCCGGAAGCTGAAAGCGCGAGTCTTCCGACTTGAAGAAATTTCCGAGCTCACCTTCTTGGACTTGTGCATTATTTATTAACCCAAGAAAGAGAAAAGAAAAGGGATAAGAAGAGGATGGGTGCTTTAAAAGTCCGGGGCTCGATGGAGTTGGTTTAGGGAGGAGTAGGTTGTTCTCATGGCTATCGAAATGACAGAAGCTGGAGCAGGCGGTGGTGGTGGTAGAGGAGGAGGGGCAGAGATGGAGGTCAACGGCCCCGCGGGGGCTGGCGGCGGCGGCGGCGGCGGCGCGGAGAAGATGAGCCCGGCGGCCCGTCTATTCCACGCGCCGAGGTTCAACTGCTACATACTCGCGATCATGGGTTGCAAGACGAGGATCAATCCGAGCGTGGTCAAAGCAGGGCTCGAGGAGACTCTGCTCAGGCACCCTCGTTTCTCCAGTAAAATGGTGCGTCGAGTTCTTTCATTTTCTTCATTTTCTTCTTGTTTTTTTCTTTCCAACATTCAATAAAGCTTTTGTTCTTCCATGTTCTTTGTTAATGACCCAAATGGAAAAAAGCTGTCCTTGTTCTCGATACCTTTTTCTTCGTGGTTAAAACTGCTGGTTCTCTTCGAATACTTATGATATATTTCTTTTATGTTTTCACACTCTGGGAAAGCAAGCATGTAGATTTTGACGGAGGACTTTGCCCCTGTCCTTTTCCTTTTTCTGCTCTACGCTGTCTAGGCCACAAAAGTTATTAGCCGCATTGTTTTAGGACAATACATCTCCAAAGGACCGAATGTGAAGGAAGTACACAAGAAAAGCATTGACAAAGTCGCTACACTTTGCTCTAGCAAAGGAAACTGAAGTGTACCCATATGGTTTTCCACATTCTTAGCTTGCCCCAGTTTGGCAATCCATTCAAATGAAATGTAACTGGCAATGCTCTTTAATTGTTTGTGTCCGCGAACTGGAGCTTACACCCTGATATGTATTGATCTCGTGATTGAAATGCCGACTTCCTAATATGCATCTCTGCTGTTTTGTTGGTTGTGGGAAGGAAGGTGGGAGATATAAAGAGAAGTGGAAAAATGAAGTGGGTTCAGACGAAGGTGAACTTGGATGAGCATGTCATTGTTCCTGATGTGGACCCCGACATGGACTCGCCAGACCGATTTGTGGAGGACTACATTTCCTATCTAACCAAAACACCTCTGGACATGTCCAGACCGCTGTGGGAGCTTCATCTCCTGAATGTGAAGACTTCAGATGCTGAGGCTGTTGGGATTTTCCGGATCCACCATTCAATGGGTGACGGCGCGTCGCTAATGTCTCTGCTCCTGGCTTGTACACGGAAAACGGCTGACCCAGAAGCACTACCTACTATTCCTGAAAAGAAACGTGCAGGAACAGATAATTCAGGCGGGTTTTGGTGGTTTTTCTTGGCCTTGTGGTCAATGTTCAGGTTGATTTGGAACACTATTGTAGATTTCTTGGTTTTTGTGGCGACTTTTTGTTTCCTGAAAGATACAGAGAGCCTAGTTAAAGGGGGACCAGGGGTTGCAACAACTACCAAGAGATTTGTGCACCGGATGGTCAATTTGGATGACATAAAACTCATTAAGAGTGCACTGAATATGGTTAGTTTTTATCAAGCTTATGCTGCCTGCTTCATCTAGACTCAATGTTATCATCATACCATAGATGTACTTAGATAAGAATGATTTTTATATGCTTACATGAGCAGCAGCTGCTTTGTTTTTGGCGTGTAAATTTATCATCAAATTACGGGTAAATATTTTTCATCAACATATAGTGTTCACAAAGACTATGCATCACTTAATGGGCATATTTAATTTTCGAGAATTATGCAAAAACCTATGTTAGTTCCTGTTTTTTTTTTTGTTTGTAGCACCAACACTAATCCCAGCCTAATCTCCTTCATTTTGAACTTTCCACAGTACTGCAGTGTTTATGAAACTGGAAGAAAGTTGAGATTTATGTTCTCCACGTCTATATTTCATGGTTGTATTAGGCACATTCTTTCATATTCTGACATTCACTCTTCTCTCTTGCATATGCTTTTTAGACCATCAATGATGTTGTGCTGGGAGTGACACAAGCTGGACTGTCTCGGTATCTGAATCGAAGATATGGTGAGTTGATTCTTGTTCAGCTTGCATACTCTTATTATTGGAAAACAAAAATCCTGCCTAACAAGGTCAGTTGCTTTATTCAGAAGGTGCGAGTGGAAAAGACCAAAATTCGAAGAAGAAGAAATCAAACATTCCAAAAAATATGCGCCTTAGGGCTACTGTTCTCATAAACTTGAGGCCAACTGTGGGAATCCAGGTAAATAATCTTTCCAGAATGTGTCTGTCATTCGAAGGTGAAGAAAAGGGAAATTTCTGCAACATTTGAAATCCATCTTATTGTTTAACTACTACAGTTGAATTTGTGGACTGCTTAAACAAAACGAAGTCAAATAGATTCTGTTTCTGAGTTCTAAATGGCTGTTTCTACTTTTTCCCTAATATAATTCACACGATTCGATATTCTTATCAAAGAGATATCAACATTAGTTGATGGCACTACCAGCTTTTTTCTCAGGCCTTTATTTTTTTCCTTGTAGACAAATCGCTTTGCATGTCGTCTTCTTTAAGTAAACAGATGAATGATAATACGCATAAATGTGCTTATAGTTTAACACTCGCTGTAAGGTACAAGTTACAAAATGGGAGAGCATTTCTATGAGTTTCCTTGTGTGAACTATCTCATTTGAATGCCTGTATCCTGCATTAACGTGTCACAGGCTTTGAGTGATATGATGGCCAAAAAGTCAAAGGCCAAGTGGGGAAATTGGATTGGATACATTCTGATTCCCTTCAACATTGGTTCAGAAGATGACCCATTAGAGTATGTTCGCAAAGCTAAAGCAACAATAGATCGCAAGAAGCTCTCACTGGAAGCTATAATAACATTCGCATGTGCAGAACTTGTACTAAAGCTATTTGGTGTCAAGGTACATATGAATTTGAGTGCATAAGTACTTTTTCCTTTTTGTCTTGCATCTCAGCCTGCTTCTGTGTATCTCACATGCAACTGTAGTATTAGTCTCTAATGCTGGTCTTGTCTGTCTATTCCCTCGACATGAGCAGATGGCGTCTGTGATTGCACACAGAATCCTTTCCAACACTACTCTGGCCTTCTCTAATGTGGTCGGTCCACTAGAAGAGATCAGCTTCTATGGCCATCCAATGGCTTACCTCGCTCCGAGTGTTTACGGCCATCCACATGTATGCGAAGTTTGAAAACTTATTTTGTTCCCTTCTCTTGTATCTGGTATTTATATTATTAGGAGCCATCTCCAAATCAGCACTGTCTTTTGAACGTCTCATTCTAATATGATGTGGAAGCTAATTTCTGGTCCAGGCATTAACAATACACTTTCAAAGCTATGTCAACAAGATGACCATTGTAGTAGCAGTTGACCCAGACGTCATTCCCGATCCTCACCAGCTCTGTGATGATCTAGAAGAGTCTTTGAAGACCATTAAGGCTGCTATCTCAGAAAAGGAGCTTGCCACTATTGTTCCAATAGTATGAGGACCTTGTTCGATGAAGAGTATTCATTTGGGCTCCTAATTTTTGGTCAAGAATTGATCCTTCAGGTACGAGAGGAGCAAGAAAGAGAAGGTGAAAAAAGGTAGGGAGGAACTGAGTGAATTCTTTTGATTCAGCTACAAATTCTTTCTTTGCCCGAAAGAGCAGCAGGCAGAGGTGAGACGGACAAGGAAATACAGGAAATTGGTATTGCTAGGTCTTGACTGTTGCAAACACTTGCCCATATTGTTTTTGTGCGTGTAGCAATTGTTCTCGCCATTAATGGTAGGAATGCTACACCTTCTTCACTGAATTTCTCTTAGAAATGACTTGATATTATGCAAAGCAACCCATGATATGTAATATGTATTCGTTCATTTTTTTCTCGATTAATACTGCTGGTAAAGATGGAGATATTTTCAGCATGCTAAACTTCATCATTGTGAGATTCCAATCCTAACCACTAATGCTTAATTTTTACTTAGAAGATTGAATCTAATGAACTGTCCATCGTGAACGTCCGCAATGTACTATGAAAAGACGAGGCATGAATGACTGGTACCAGTATGGCGACACAACACGAAGTGCGAGCGCGAAGTGAAAATTTTAGGAAAGTCTATGGTTGTTATGTAGATTAAAGATGTCATTTGTTCAGACTGAAGTATCCACCACGCTACAGTGACTACACACTATAATTCATGCGCTTTTCAGTCAAACATATGATTTCCGCATGGGCCTGTTCATCCAAGAAAGATTATGAATGTCTGGCTTAGAACATTTGTGATCATGAAGCCCAAGTCATTCTTTTCTTTGTGCCTTACTTTGTCCTTTCCATTTATCTCAATTAAATGGACCTGCCAGAGCCTGACCTTCTGTGTCAAGGCATTAATGTCCTTTGAGGCCCACGACCGGCTCAGTCGACCGTGGGGACTGCAACATCCAACAACCAAACCAACCATAGTAATGAAATGAGGAACGTTAGATGATCACCGGACAAATCTAGTTATGGTTAAGCCCTTCATCTGAACCTTGACACTTGCCTAACTAACTAAGGATCAAAACAGAACTTAATCCAAACTCACCCATTTCCTATTCACACGTCAAACTTTAAATACGATGAGGTTGCTATAATTGGATGGTCTCAGGATTCATTTGCTTCCCAACTACGCTTCTCATAAAGACAGAAGTTCACATGGAGTTACGAGGCTGCACCACGCGCGAATGAACAGTTAGCATGCGAGTTTACTGTAGTGTCTCAGTTTAAATCCTGGGCTCGGAGCTATTAAATGAAACACGTTCAATCCGATCGCATCATGTATATGTCTACACTGTGAAGACAGAGACACTGTCGCTCGCATTACGGCATCGCTTGGTGGAAATCCAGCAAATATGCAATCAGTATTCTTCTTTGTTTTTGTCTAATTTTATGTACTCTTCAATCGACCCTTTGAAGACTCCACACAAGTCCTCTTCACAAGCCATTTTCCACAAAAAGGTAATGGGCACCACCACCCATTGTCCTATTCCCAGGCGGGTGCTATACGATTGAGCTCACATTGAATTGACTCTCTGTTTCTTTCTCTCCTTGGCCCTTTCCAGAATCCAACTCATATCTAATTTATTTCCTCTTTCTTTCCTTTTATTTTTGGTGATATATAGAATCTGTATTTTGTGTTTTGGCTTTGGTATGTAGGGACCCCAAAGTTCACCCCCAAGAAGAAATACTCTTGTCTTGTTCATGGGACCAGACCTTGTCATGCAGCTCTATTTGTGACTTGCCAAGTGCAATCCTCTTCTGGAGAATGCACTCTAAAGAACGAGATATGCATAAGATATCAGCATTGTCTTAGAGAGAAAATATCTAGAGCTGAATTTAGTTTTTTATAAACCGATGGGTGACGACATCTGGGTAGGAAACGGACTAAACTAACATATAAAAAGATCGCCGCCCTGTATGTGCAATACTTTGTTGTCCACTAGATTGATGACTAAAGACAAGTTGCACTAATAATTTAACTTCTTGATCATGAGATCATTGTCATGATCAAGAAGGAGAAAAGCAGTTCCCAATTTTTAAATATCTAGATTGCTTGTCTATGGATATGGACATGGTACAATAATGAGAGGTCTTGTCCAAAAAGACTACGTTTTGCACCTCTTTAACCCACTACTAGAAGAAGGTGTTGTTAGAGACCGATGGAGACAGATGTATGTGTTAAAGCACTAGTTTCTTTGGAAAAGGACATGGTTTTGCTGGGGAGATGCTTGGAATATGGTCTGAAGATGCTCGAGGAAAGAATGAAAGGGGCCAAAACCATCTGACCAAAACAACCAGCTGGTAGAATATGGCCACTCCTTGGCCATCCATAGGCTCGATCGATGGCGGATCCATGTACTAAGCCAGTTGAAAACGCCGTGGAAAAGTATTATTGCACAAATGATCCCGAAATTTTGATCCGATTTGGAATGTCGTTCATGAATTTTTAATCCGTGTAATATGATCCTTGAATTTTGATCAAATATGCAATGTTGTCCCTAAATTTCTAATTTGTTCAATATGACTCTTAAACTATTGGTTAGAGACTCAATACTTTGTACTCAACAACCTATATTGCCAGAGTGCACAAATGTACTACTTGTCAAATTTCAAGAATGTCCAAATTGGCTTAAATTTGGAAACTGACGTCTAATGTCGCATGATTTGGCACACGATACGACATGTCACCTTGTAGATTTGGTCACACTCAGAAATCTCAAGATGATAATAGCATTGATAGATTCGTCTACAATAGCATGCCAAAAAAAAAATGAGTATGAGTAATTTTCTCAATATTTACAGAGTATATTAGCCCTAATAATTTTCATTATCGAGATAGTAACTTTTCAAATAAAAAAATGAATCTAACACGATATTATCGATCAATAGCTTTAGTTTTAAGTGGTTTGCGGACATTATTTAATGTGCGACGAATAACAATCTTTCATTATTTCGTGCGGTATAAGTCCTGCGACATAATTTTTTAGTTCACCATGCTGGGCAATATGGACATGGACCTGACTTCATAGAAAACTTTATTTGCAGCAATCTCGAAAGTGAAATGTGAATAATATAGACTTATTTTAATGAACCGTCCTTGCTCCTAACTTTTTATAACATATAATTCATTGGCATATATATATATATGTATATGTATATTAAGCAGGAATAAAACAAAAAGAGATTAAGGATCCGTTTGTTTCCTGGAAAATGTTACAATTCTAGAAAATGTTTTCCAAAGAGTCATTTTCCTAGGAAAATGTTAAAAATTTTTACTGTTTGGCTGAAATCTCAAAAAAAAAATCGGAAAATATTTTCCGTAAGTTGGAAAGGAAAATCTGACTTGATTTAATTTTCCTAAATACACATACACTTACCGAGCGTTAGTGACTTGCGCATGGGCAACCGGAGAACCATGCACGAGCACTAAGATCCAAGGTCCAGCCTCAATGGACCCAAACCTGGGCAAGGCAAGGCAAGGCCACCTGGGTCTCGAGCAAGAGCGCGGGCACCAATCTTTTGTCCAAAGAAGTCAAACTAAAGAACTCGGTGCCTGTGCACGACATCTTGGCCCGGGTCCACAGAGGCCAAGCCCAAAGTCCCGGTGTTCGTGCTCAGATCCCCAACCCTCGGCCTAGATCCACAAAGGCCGACCGTGGGAACCCAACGACTTGGGTGCCCGGGGTCCTTAGCTTGGCCTCGATGGACTCGGGCTCGAGTGTAGGAGATCCACGCACCGGCATTGTGGTCTTGAGCCTAGGGACTTGAGCTTGGCCTCAATGAATCCGGGCACGGGCATTGTAGAACCAGGCAGGGCATCGCCCAGGCCTAGCCTCGATGGACTCGAGCCTAGCGACCATGGTCCTAGGTCTTTCCTTGATGGACTCAGGTGTAGGTGTCGGGGACCTGGACACGGTCATTGGGCTCCCTGGGCTGGCCTCGATGGACCTAGGCACAGGCACCGTGGTCTTAAGCCTCGGACTTGATGGACCCAAGTTCCGGCACGAGGGATCCATGTGACATATGAAATTTTCTATGTTCAATAGTAATATTCAGGATGATTTTCCACGGCCGTGATTGCTCGGAGTGTGATGCATTAGGATTAAATTGATAGATGTTGACATGCACGTTGGTAGTGTAGAATGACGATAATTACTTTACCGGCATGTTAGTTGCAAAAAAGGACCGATATGCTTCGAGTTTATGTATCGGATAAGTAGTGAGTTAGAAATTTACTGAGTCGTGATTCTTCTAGTATTTAGTAATTCTTGCGGAACATTTTGGCAACTTCAAAATATTTTTCTAGTTAATTAGTACTTCGAATGCACACTAGTTTCTTTCTTTACGTACTGATTTATTAGTTATTTTGGTATCTTAACATAATATCTACTTTTAAATCCATATAGTTGAGCCATTGGTCTCTAACTCGTGCACATCTCTCTTCATTTTTCCACAAAGTATTTTAAACCACATGTCCTTAGTTTGTGACATTGAGCTTAGTCTAGTGATGATATCATGCATTACACAATCTATTTCAACTTTAGCCAATTAATGCTCTTGATAACTCACTCATTTACTTGGCCAAGAAGCTTATTCTCAAAATATCTCTCATTTTGAATTGAAGTACCAATCCTCTCTTTATATATAATGAGTTTAACCTAAAGCCATCACTACTTTTAACCTTAGTTATCCACTCTTATCTCTTGATTCATTTCACTTGGCCATATATTTTGATAGAACCATGTGATCATGTCACTTGCAACTTGAACACAACTCACCACCTAACAATTTTAACCTTAAGTCATCATTTCTCTTAATTTGAGTTACTTGTTTTTACCTCCCTTTGCCTATAAATAGGTCTACATATGTCTACAAGCTTAAAAAAGAATCCTAACTTGTTCTTGCAAAGAAAAAGAAATCTTCCGTCAAGTCAGACCAGGTAAGTCATTTGAACTATTGCAAACAAACATTTATTAGGATGCAGAAATATAAATTGAAAATGAACCCCTTGAAATGTGCTTTTGGAGTTAGGGCTGGTAATGTTCTAGGTTCTCTAGTGAATGAAAGAGGAATCGAAATAGATAAAAACAAAGCAAAGCCAATTCAAGAATTACCTCCACCAACGACTAAGAAACAATTGCATATGATAATTGGTAAAGTGAATTTCTTGCATCGGTTTATTGCTAACTTGTTTGTAAAAATTGAGCCTTTGTCTTCCTTAAGCTAAAAAACCAAAGAAAACTTTGTGTAGGAAGACAAACACCAAACTGTCTTCAATTGTATTAAAATGTATCTATCTAATCCTCTGGTTTTAATGCCACCTAAAGTAGATAGGCCATGGAAACTCTATCTATCGGCGACCGACACAACTATCAGAAGTATGTTGGCACAGGAG